GAACATCCACTAACCTAAATATACATATACCGTACTTCTCATCCATGGGCGGCACTGGTTGCTTACCATCAGGTAATCCATCTTCTCGTTTGCCGACCTATTACGGAAAAAAACCCATAACATGATTTCTGCCGCCGCGAACGATTTTTTTTATAAAAACAAAAGTGTAAACGAAGCCGTGGGTACCAGTTAGTAGGTATGTATGTACATATGACATATCACAGACAATGTATCTATTTGACTGAAACTTATAAGTACTTACCTACCTATTTATCCATTAATCCGGTGACACATTCAAAATGTACTTAGGTATGTAAATTCTCACCGCAAATAGGTAGGTACTAAGTACATCAAATTCAAAACTGTAGGGGCTTAAATAGTAAGGATCATTTTTAGCGGTGTTGAATTATTAAATATCAAATTATTGTTTCATTAATTCAAAGTGGAATTTTATTATTAATACGGCTGGCCAACAAATTGAAGTCATTTAGATTGCTTTGAGTTAGGAGTCTATTTGTCCACTCGTCAATTGGTCGTAGCTGTCTAGATCTTAATTTTATATTAAGATGTCTAGCTAACATTCATTGTAATTTTCGTTCATCAATATCTTGCCACGTCCAGTGCAAGCGGTGCGCACAAATTCATATGTATGGTCTCTTTAGGCTTATTGAAATGGGTAGTTTTCTACCTACTTTAGAACTAACAACACCTTATTTAAATTAGGTACCTACTAGACAGAGTCAGAGGGAAAGATGAATACAATTTTTTAGTTTCCTAGGTCACAAAACAGTTAATTCGACGTTTCAATGCAATACAATTTTGAAAAATAACTATAAGTACCTACTTTTATTCATCGATCGATCGATCGATACACTAAATTTTTGATTTTTTTAGCTAATTATTAAGAAATTAGTAAGCTATTTGACGCAAAAATACTATGACGTCATAACTGTTTCTCAGTGTGACTCAGTGTTTCATACAAATTTCATAGAAAAGTATAGTTTTGACATTTGGATATAAAAATATTGAATTTGACTCTTTGGAAACTACCGTATTAAAACATTACCATGAATATTCGTAAAAACATTTTTGATTTGATCAAGCCTGTTCGTTCGGTCGGTTGTAAAAATAACGCTAAAAGGGTAAATACTTTAGTTCCGAATGACAGTTTCAGTAAATGAGACGGGTGCATCCTGTGATAAGACGTGCGAATGACCGTGGGACAATCGCGAAACACCCGAATGTTGTGTATTTGCAAACTATGTACCTACCTACGTCTTTTTAAATCAATTCATCAGCGAATTTCGTATTTATCCGGCTTATAATACGACAATTTGATGAATTTCTCTTAACTCACACTTACATTAGTATAAGTGTTCGATAACTGTTTGTGTCTACTAAACGATATTAAAAAGTTTTAATAAGCACATGCTGTATTTTACCAATGGCCTAACCTATATTTTATAACACGTCAAATGAACAAGCGATCCAATTTCAATTTTGTGTTACAATAAAACGGTGTTGTCCGAAGATAGGGCACCTCTGGCGGGTGCACTTGTTAAGGTAACCAGCGGGCAGCGGGCCAGTCGATAGGATACCCGTTCAGGGAACAGGTAACAGTGTAAAAAGTAAAAAAATAAAGTCCGGCTGTCGGTCTGCGGCCGCCCCCGTCCGGCCGCGGTATAAGGACCACTGTTCACAGTGCGACTACAAAATAAATACTCCATTATAACGCAACAATACTTCTCATAATTCTGACAACATGAAAAGGGTTGTGTATTCCTTTGACTGAGAAAACTTCGCAGATTTCTTATTAATTTTCCGAAATCTACCTAAATTTATTTGCTATACAAACTTTATTAGTTCGTGAAAACATCTCATGATCACTTCGATCAAATGAATTCAGCAAATATGTATTTGAAGAGGTTTGAATCAGTCAGGTTGTTAACCGATTATTTTCGGAACAATTCGGAGTAATTGTTTGCAGTAAGTACTTTATTATTACTACTACTACTAAATTTATTATCACCTTAAAAGGGTTTATGTATGCATGTGCAGTCTTAGTATAAGATGCACTATCTGAGACCAATTAATCTTATAAAATGTACACCGATTAAAAAGTCGTTACGAACCGTGTTTATGCAAAACGACAAAGAATAATAAGAAATATAATTTGTCGAGTAAGTGGCAGGACTATTAAAACCGCATATTCATTTATCGATTACAACGTTGTCAGAAGCCCATAAAGCCGGTTTTATAATTTATCCGCCGTGGCTGAGGAATTGCTCCCGACTAGTAGCGAGTTAACAGGCAGCCTTACATCGGGCCATGGTGCACCGTGCATGTGCAGTGTACTCCTAACATATGATCCCATAGTTAGGGCCTCTATTAATAACACACCGTGATGTTTACATTTACCAGATAGCAATGTTTACTTTTTACAGCTTTCTTTAATCTCCCGCTCTTTAAAGCATCTGGTTATGAATGTTCAGAAGTTTTACTTTTAATTGGTATTTATGATTGCACAAATTCCATCCTCCATGTAATTGGAACATTAATCAGAAAACATAAACACTTATGTGGGTAATTAATAAAGTCGATCGCCACTCGAATTCCGAATCGATTAAACAATTAGCTTTTAAGTGGGATCAACGATCTTTTATTTACCGACCTCTGTCATCCTGGATGGATTTCGCGATATGGTACAGTTTACATAAACGTTCTTATCTCACCTGATATAAATGGCGTATTCCTATTTAAAATAATATTGCAGCACGCACGTTCATAATTTTAAAGTCACTTCACAACTCGCGAACTCGGACGTCTCGTTTGACAACAAATATAAAACGTTCGATGATGTGCCACCCTCGCGACGGTCGGACACAGACTGCCGACATACTCGCTCTTTACTCAATACACAGCTTTGTTTTGCGCTTCAAAAAGTTCCATCACAAAGGATTTTCGACTTAAAATTTAATCATATAGAAGTGACGCAGGCTGAGCCATAAAGTTTGTGTAGATATCTGGTCGATATAAGTTACAATCAACATTTTGCATGTTTCCATTGATAGCAAATCATCGAGCAGACGTGGGACGCTTTACATTCAGCTTACATACAATGTTACGGCTGGTCAAATTTAGCATCTGCTGATTAGATTAACTGCTGGTTATGGCGATGCCGGTGTAGCATCAATAAATCTGTCGTCTCGGCGACTGAATTAGCATATGCAAAAAGAGCAATGCGATTAAATTATGGATGTACAAGTCTTCAGAAGCAAAAAGTTTTAAGTATTAATCATATTTCATACTTGATTATTAATTTAAAGTCAAGCGGTTTAACGCTCGGTGGCTCATGAAACCGCAAGATGTTTTTGTTACTATTGTTAGCCGTTTATGAATGAATAGCGTGTAATAGCGAGGTTTATATTTTACCTGCCATTGACGCATTGTTTAGTCTGAACGCAACGTAATTTACTACTAGCGCAGTAAGTACACGGCATTATGTTAAACAAGGTGCCCCGCCGCGCTCGACGATGTTCAGCTCGAGTCTGCTCTGTTCACAAAAGAAGATCAATCTTTTATTTTTGTTGAAATTCATAATATGATGAATATTTATGATATTTTTAAAATAGAAGACACGAAGAAAGAAGTCATCAAGAAGTAGGTATCTTCTTCTGTAGGTAACTAATATCGAAATCACTACACAATGACTTATAAAATACCGAAATGGCTTTCTAATTACCTATAATAGATACACATAGCAGTACCCTGTATTATAAATTATCAAACCATGAAGTAAATAACCATATCAAACTCAAGTTCTTTAGGGTAACTAGAAGCTTTTGGTAGTCAAGCGTAAATACGACAACGGACATGCGCATGCGCATAAGCATAGTTTTAAATTGCATGCGACTGTACCAGAATATTTTAATGGAATTTAGACAAGAATTTTTTGTCCAACATCTGTAATTGAGCCTATTCAATTATAAATATCTACCTATAGTTTATTCTGCAAATAAGTATAGGAAAAATCAAAAGAGTAAGCAAAAAAGAAACATTTTACCAAGTTTTAATAAAAAACGTAGACCCTCCACGTGATACTGATGATGCTGGCACCCAGGCCGCTGAATCTTTATTGCCGAAGGGAGGAACTCAATTTCAACTGTAATGCTTACCTACCACATAACTGAAAATTATGTGACTTTTATCAAGTTAGGGAAGTTGGAGATAACACAGCCCCACAGCGAATGTGGATACCGGATGCTCAATCTCCCCACTCATGAATCTTCTAATCCCTAACAAACCACAAAAGACCATCAACACACTTTTTTTGGGATAAGCCCGCAACAACCTTTAGAAACCTCTGCAACTCCTGTAAAAATAAATGTCTGGTCTCGTACTCTCGTCAAGAGACTTGTAACTTCTTTGAAGCTGCGAGTCTACTTGGGCGCTTGCTAGTTGCTTATCATCAGGTGGTCCGTCTGCACTTTTGTCGACCGGTCCTATGGATTAAAATGGGGAAGAGTCAAGGTTACAATTCCAGGCTCCCTACTTTTACTGGGGATTTCTCAAAAAGCTCTGGGGATTGCCAGTCAAGCACCGTACCTATATAGGTATAATAATGTGTTGTGGTCCAGGCCGGGGCGAAGAAGTATGTGGTTTTTAGTCAGTCACCGTAGTAGTTAGTAAGAGTACTGTCTAAAAACAAACCAGTATAAATCACATAACTATTTGAGCTAATAAAATGTGTTTTTCAGGTTTTAGTGTAATTTAAAAAATTCTATTCCACGTTTCACTATTCCACCTAGGTGAATCATTACACCACCTAAGGAATGAAGCTTTTGATGTCTGGCATATTGGGTAAGTGCGAGGCAAACAAGAGCTCACAGAGAGTCACTGTGGTAGAAATCCGCCTTACAACTACTTGAAAAGCAAAATTATCAAAGTTTATCTTTCAGTTTGAAAGCGCGTAAGTCACGTTGGTACGGAATAAAACCCACAAAATAATTTCTTAATATTTATTTTCTATGCAACATAAAAAAATATTCATCATAGTTACAATAAATTACAGTTACTTAATGCGAACTAAAATGTAATTTACGATAATTCGTGAACAGAATCGTACGGGTCAGATCAGAAAATTTTACACAAGTCTTTACCTACACTTTTGTCATGATTTTAAACATTTTTAAATATAATAAATGCAAACTATTATCTAATCAACAAAATCGTCCAATGTAGATAAAAAGCTTGCTTAGCAAATATAGTTAAACTGTTGGAGATGCTTTCATTTTTCCATTTTGTATCTATTTAACAATGGGAGGCGTCTAGCGCCGTCAATAAACTCACAAGTACTCGACACTTGTTCCGAGCCAATGGTAAAACGAAGCATCGTCAACATTATAGATAACACTGAATGTACCTCACAACAATTACAATCTACCAGTTCGTGTTTAGCGAATACTCCAGCTATTACTAAATATGTTCTCAGACAAAGATATTGAAAGCATGACCTTAATAATACTGTTCCGAAGACAGCGGAACGGTATCGTCATACGGCTGTTTATAAAAATGGTTGAATACTATGAACACAGTTTTCTCTCGCGCTAGCTGGGGACTACGATGCTTTCAATATATTCGGCTTCTACCAACATTATTTCTATTACAATGTAATAAATTATGATTATCTTCAAAATGTTTGTGACCGAATAAAGGTACACACCAATTACAATTTCACTGCTAACATCAACTATTTCTGAGTACGGCGATGTACGATAGTGATGCGGGACTGTTGTTACCATGCACGGTAAACATTGTGACGCTAAGTAAATGCAGACATTGTGCTGTCAACTCGAATGTGGTACAATGAAAATCACATTTTCATTCAAAAATTTCACGTAAGGCAAGGTCTTTACTAGGTACGTGTAAAATAAAATGAACACAGTGTAATTTAGTAGGGAAGGCAGTGAGAACATCCACCGTATACCGGTGGCTAACAATCTAATATCAAAATTTGTATTTTGAACCGTAACAAGACATTTTTAAGACAAAGAATTTTCAATCTTTAACTGGTATAAAAAGCGACAAAAACAGACGCGAATAGAACAAGGCTTCCTACTATAATCAATTAATATTAATAGATATATATTAAATTCTTACTAGACAATAGACATGATAAAGACTCCTTAACAAATAACTTAAAGGGGTTACAATAACAGTGCCATCAAATATAAATATGCAATGTATAAGGTACCATTAGTTACAGTATAAGCTCTAAATGAGAACGATCAAAATGTTGGCATTCGAACATGTTACCTTGTCAAACTATACATAATAACGAGACGAAATAAATATATGGGAGGTTCTAATTATTTAAATAATTAATAAATTACGTGGCTAGTCTCAGCGGCGGTCTAGTTTTATAAACATGTTCAGATTACATCTGACCGGCGCGGTAACGAGACTTGTAAATAAACCGATTTGAAAAATCAACATGGTTAGACCGTCTGGAATGTACTCAATTAAGACCCGACACCTTTCAGGCGGATAAATAAGTATACACAAATAAATAAAATTATAATAAAATAAGGCGACGGTCCTCGGTGCACGCCGCACCCGACACGCCAGCGTACGAATAAACCGGATACAATAGGTACAGATAAGGCAAAGAATAAAATATACATGTACAGATGCAGTAAGCGAACGCGTTAGCTACCTAACATTAGTTAACACGAATCCCTAGCCTTAATCTAGACACGATACAATCGAGATAGTGTCGCGCGGCCGGGGGACCACTGCCTGCGTTCCGGCCTCATACAACACTGGTATAGCAGGCAGTCGCCTCGCGCCCGCACTCGTCCAAAATCAGAAACATTAACTTGGGCATAACTTCAATGTGATCGGTGCAAAACTTCAATAAAGTCAAATATTGAAAAATTCAAATACGAAAAAAGCCTATAAAGAGGACTTATTACTACGTAAGAGAGACATTTTAGTGACGGGTCGACCCGTATTAAATTCATTCGAGATTGCGAAATGTACCCTAGTGGATGGTCACGGATAATTATAACGTGTGAACGACAGGTTCTATACAATAAACGTTACCGACTCCATGGATACCAGTGTACCGAGGAGCCGTTAGACAAACATCCAAGTTTTGAGGGATTAATAGAGATTCTGTAACTCTTTATAATCGAGATTCTTTCCGAATATCATTACGCCTACTATGTTACAGTCAGAAATGTCAGCACACAACACGCACACTTCAAGCGGCTTTTATACAAGTTTATAATATTGACCAACTACATCTATGTGTTACACGAGTGATATATTAGTAGGGTGAGTTGAAATGAGTGATCCGATCCACGTCTCTGACGATTCTCCACTGGACTCCATCCGAAGCCATCTTTCAATACAAGCTTTGTTACAACTTGAATAACGTTCTACTGGCAAATATACTCGTTCAAAGACCACAATGCGCTTTAGTTGCGTGAACTGACACCAAAGGTGGGATTAAGTGACGTAAAGGGGAAGGGGGAGGACAGGGAACCACCGACGCGACGTCTCCGCTAACAGAGATCACAACACCGAACCACGCCTCTCTTTAACTCTGCAAAGCACCACAATATGCCCCGGTGGTCAAACTGCGCAATTATATAAAAATATCTTTTTTTCTTAATAAAATATACATTATTTTAGATATTCAAATGTCGTTACCATTACTTGCGCGTTTTGTGTTTGCAGCTACACTTATTCACAAGAGAATAATAAGTCTTAGAGAAGGACAACGCAAAGAAGAGTTCTTAATGTTTAACTAAAATATTAAATAGATTTCCTAAGTACAGCTGCAACACTGCCGTACCGCGTGGTAATGAGTAACGACATTAATTAATTGAACAAGCTTGGTCAACGCTTAAATGTACATACATTTTAGAATGACGAAGATATATTGAATTTGATAACAGTCATACGTTCGATTCGTAAAATAATAATCTTTATGGTCCATAGCGTGTTACAAAGAGCGATTAGAAAGATATGCATTTAATATAAAAATAATTGATATACGAATTTGGCTTGCGAACTGACCATTGGCTGTACATCGTAATCGAGCCGATGTTTGGAGACCAACCTTATAATTTTACTTACAATAATTCCCTACGCCAATACTACGAAGCCAGATACGTCCGCAACGAGCGCACATGACCACCGGAGTCCAGAGCTAATTACCTTATTTTCTGTGACAAAAATAGCTTTTCTTATCTCAAGTCTTGACCAGCTACCGTATGGTTAACTACACGTAATTGATATCGAGCCGTAACATCGCCTACTTACTAACACAAGCCGAGTATCTTGGCGTTCAGGTTTTGAATCGCGGCTGCCATTGTACCTTCTTTAATATCTTGTTCTTTAACAAACTCCAATTAAAATTAGTGGCGAGTAAGTAATTTATATTTCTACAGGATTTACAAATGTTGGGGATGGCTCCCAAAACCTGAACGCCAGTGCCAGTTTGACTATTTCTCATTACTTAAAATCAGTCTCATAAATAACGAAATGTTCAACAGACTTAGAGACGATCTCTACGATCTCAGGGAGCATAGTCAATAAAACCGTATAGCCTTGTGTATGGACACTAACAGCCGGCCGAAACAGAACAGTAGGCTTCGTTATCAGCTTACACTAATGCTTACACCCTAATAAATTTCAACTAAATACAATCACTGTCAATGCTGCCTTCTGTTTACCAATGTAAAGCTTTGGAAAAATACATGTCAACTCACGCGACATTCCACCGGGAAATCTTTACCGAAATTTTCGATATCACTTTCAAAATTTGATAAAGGCACAGATGTTTTTCCCGCTCAACAGGATCTTCATAATTGACCACTTCCTTTACATCGCGCGAGTTACATCTATTTTCGACCATCCAACACTTGTAAATGGCAGTGCAGTGTCAGGACATCTCCGCGTCTTACAAATAGCTGTAAAGCTTATAGTATCGATTGTCGTAGCTGTCGAAAAAAGTCGAATTTCAACCGAGTCAACTGAGGGTTGACATCGTGAAACATATAAAGTAAATACAACATAATATTGCAAATCTTAAACAATATGAAGACTGGTGACGCGATAATGTCGCTGTATTTCCCACTGGGCAGTTGAGTCACGGTGTGACGGGTTTGCCTGCAGCCTCGCCTAGATGTTTAGCTGACTGTGTGTTGGGGGGGGGGGGGGAGCTGTAGTTAGACGTAAGTGGGGGGCTGCGGCGCGGGGGGCGGAGGGGGGAGCACGCGCGCGCCCGGCACGTACTGCCCGATGAACGAACCGTCCTCCGTGAACCGACCTACAACACAAACATCTTACATTAGCAACACAATATATAAAAGGATACAAGGAATAGATAAAATAGAATGGTTCTATGAGAATCGTAAAGTTAAATAACGTAAATACGATAAGTTAAGTTTTTAAGTCCGTCAATAAATATACTTGTCCCGTACCACTTAAGAATTTAAGTCGATTTAACTCGACTGAACCCTGTGTACCATGTTTTTGACGGAATCCAATTACGATGAACCTCCAAAGTTTTATTTTAACATTTTTCTGCTTAAAATATTATAAAAATCTTTGAAACTCATTGATGCATATTTAAATTCGACGTATTATTTAATGTTAATTATAAAGCATCATCTCGAAAACATTCAAATACAATTTTGAATAATATTAATGTTCTAAGCAGTTACATCAACAAAATCAAATCAAATAACACATACATACTGGCATAAAAACTGAGCACAGTAAAATATCAAAAGAAAAAAAAAGCAAAAATAAAATCATACCTTACAAAACAAAATAAAAACGTCGCTCGTGCAGGCAAAGATAAAGAGGAGAGGGACGGAATGAAGGAATAATATAAACATCAAAACAAATGCAAAACTTATAACAAAGCACGCTAATAAACATTTAAGTAGGAAATATTCACTCCAAATAATATCATTTGTTTCTTTACAACCTAATATTACTTATACAAATTATTCTGTACTTATAACCTAACCTAAGCTGCGAACATTACTTGCGAAGGGTGACGGAATACTCAGTGACAAAGCCTTTATTAAAAACTATTTCTCAAATAGTGCAATAAAGACTGGACACCCATGTTTCTAATATTACTACGTTCATACATATAAAAAGACAAACTAATTAAATTTTTGTATTATATAAAAATGTGTCTAAAACGGCAGAATACTGCCCATATAAAAAAAAAAAAAGATTCACAACGATATTCACAGGTCGAAAAATGTTTGAAGAGAATTTTGGCGGGCGACTTCACCTTCCAATGTCAAATATTGACCAATCAGATCAAAGAGCAAAATATTTGCCTAAGGCGATTGGATGCCAGTACCGGACTGTTTTATGTTGCATTAATGTGATGCATGGCACTACGTTACATTCAAGCGTATAAGAACGTAGCTATACTTGGAGCTCTTTTAAAGGCTTTTGAGTTTTGAGCTTAGTGTTCACTGAGATACAGTGCAATTTATATTGTTCTAGAAGACACATGTTTGATTAAAAAAATGCATTGATGACCCTAATGGACTGGAGTCCATATTTAAAAATATTGTACATCAACAGACGGACTTATATACCTACAATCCTACTTTATATAGTTATCTCAGTGAACACTAAACCTGGTAATAAGAGTGCAAGGATTGGGGGAGAGAGGGGTTTAGACGAGAGTGGCGAAGGCCTGCGAAGCGGAATCAGTCTGTCCTGTGGTTGGGGGCCGTCGCTTGCGGCCGTACTGTCCGATGAAAGACCCGTCCTCGTTCATACCCGCTGGAAAGTTCACATGCTTTATGCACACAGCCAACGACACACATGCTTCACGTAATTGGGAAACACACAGAACTAATCAAAAAGTTGCCAATATCATGATGAAAAAAGTAATAAATCCTTTTTGATCAGTTCAACAACAAAAATAAAGCTATCGTGCAAACAAAGTAAAATGTAAGAGTATCCTTGCAATTAAGAACACAGACTTTCAAAAACGAACAACTGTAGGTAAAAATCATTAAATAAATAAGCAAGAATTCAAAATCTACTTCAACAACAAGCTTTGTTAATTAGCTCTAATATAAAAACTGCTAGAATGGAATGCCAACTGAGCGATATATCAATGGTATTTAGCCCTTTGTGGCTTTATTTGTAGTTTATAAGTATATGATCGTGTTATATTTTGTAATAAACATACCAGTTTCGCCTTCACCGTACTCAGCCATGGAGTCGGTGTCGCTTTCTGGTCCAGGCTTCGTGCCGCTACTCATCGAGTGACGGGACTTGTTATCCAGACTGAAATAAATATAATTGGAGATGTAATAACGTTTTGATACATGTGCCAAGTATTGTCGGTTATTTTATTTACAGATAGTGTCACATTTAAGTGTGTTCTTTTGCTGATTATGATATGAAATGTGTCCTAATTTGACAATTGAATGTAAAATAGAGCAGGTGAGTAAGTGGCATTGCGCTTGCCCCGCAACCCCGGCTGAACATCAGCCCTGTAGGGCCCCGTCTGTGGTGGTCTATTGGTTCTTTGAGGCACGCGCGAAACGCTACGCGCCGTACGCTTGGGTCTGCTTACTGCCGTAGTCCCCCGCTTACGGCGACCGGAGATCGTCTCTCGATCCCATGAGTTACCCCTGGAGGGGCAATAGGTGTGTGGGTGTATAGTAAGTAGTGTGTACTGACGGATGCGTGTACTCGTGGAAGCCGCCGTCTGCGTAGTCCCTGCGGCCGTGGGCCAGCTCGCGGTCGTGCACGTCGTACTTGCCGCCGCGGTTGCGGCGCACCACGCACACCAGCACCAGCACCAGCAGCAGGAACGCCAGCGCCAGCATCACGCCGATGAACCACCCCGCCGACGCCGTCTTGTCCTCGCCCGGCTCCACGATGGGGCCGTCTGCAACACACATAATATATATTCACTCATGTTTAACACGCGTTTATAATTAATAGAGCTTCAATAACTTCTTTAAACTGTCTTTAAAGTCCAGAGAACTTTTAGCAATAACAAAAGACGCGACACGCGAAAACACAAGGACTCTAAATTATGCACCATCTTCCACAATTTAAAGATCAAAATCATGATGAATAAAGCTACAACCATACTAAGAACGTTACTTACCGATCGTAGTATCAACATCCTTGATCTCACTGGAGCTGAAGTACTCTCCGTCATGCGCCGTCAGTTTGACCTCGTACACCTGTCCTGGCTCTAGCCCCGTCAGGATCACGTAGTCATCATCCGTCACCTCGTTAGTCTTCGACCAGTCAGGGTGGCCCTTCAGCTTGTACCACGCAACGAAGTGAGTACCTGCGTGACCATCTAATGACGGTATCCACCGCACGAGGATGTGAGCAGTTCCCTCTTTAGCCGGCAATGTACTCGTCTCAAACACCGGAATGTCAGGCTTAGCAGTCACCACCGACTTAGTTGTTTGCTCCACGTAGTACTTGTCTCCTTCACCTGCTTTAGTCTTAGCTCTGATCTCAATGCGGTATTTCGTGTTGGGTTCTAGACCAGCCAACTTTGCGCGGTCAAACTTAGGGTCGATCTCCTTCTTCCTTTCTTGAATTGGCCCAAGAGATGTTCCAGTGACCTTCTGGTAGTAGATTTTGTAACCAGTAAGGACTCCGTTTTCGTCAACAGGTTTGTCCCATTTAAGCAGCATAGCTGAAGAGCCGATAGGGTATACTTCGAATGATTTGACGGTACCAGGTTTGCCTTCAGGAGTGTGGAAGCTGAGAGTATCACTGGGAGGTCCGTTGAAACGGCCGTTGTATACCAAGATTCTAGCATTGTTCTTCTTGTATGGCTTGAATTTACTGACTAAAGCACTAGAAGCGTCAGCCTTGACTAGGATTTCTTTGAGCCTATCTTCTTCACCATCGACCCAGGTTTGGATTTTGTAACCCTTGAAGTGTCCTCGTACGGACTCTGGTGATACTGGGTTCCAGTTAAGCAATGCGGTGGTGCCAGTAGTGACTTGTACGAGGGTGAAGTTCTGTGGGGCGTGCATTGGTATGTCTTCACCGGACCAGCCGATGACTTCCACAGGTGTCACGTTAGATGTACCTTTGTAGTTTACTGCGGTAACCTGTGGCCATTTATAAAAATGTATTTTATTATTATATTCACATTAATTCCAACAAAAGTAGGAAAAAATAAGTATATTAATATTACCTTGACTTTGTAGGGTACGAAGGTAGGTGTGTTGAGTACAGTGTACTGAGTCTGCTGCCAGTCGCGGACTTGTTCCTCGACCCAGGGTTGGCCCGTGATGTTACGCCGCCAAGTCACCAGGTAGTAGAAACCGGGGCCATTGTGCTCGATTTGCGGCATTTTCTGGAAGGAAAAATTGTGTATAATTACAATTGTGTAAATAAAACTTTATTAACAATGTTTAGATGTTACTTTTCCCATTAATCGTTAGATACTAAACAAAAGTTAGACCTGTCTGAGTGCGTTTACTTACCGACCAAGAGATGACCATGTTGGTGGGGTCAGATCCCTCTCCTACGACATTGTCGGGGTTCTTGTAGGGAACGTCTGGCTGTGTCGTACAAACATCGGAATGCGATGACGGAGTTGATGGGCCGATCTTGTTCCACGCGCTCACTCTGAAATATAAATAATATTATTTGAAAACCTTCCGTTACCAAGAGTGCACCACCAACAATTTAAGAAACTAAGACAATCGTTAACATTAGATGAATTTGTTACAAGGTTCTACAAAGTTGAATTCTAGCTATTTAATCGGAGTGCATCTACAAAACCAGATAAAGAAAAGCAATGTTATATTTTTAACTTGAGAATAACGATACTGACAACAGAATAAACATACCTGAAGGTGTAATTAGCCCAAGGACTAAGCTGGACGGTCCATGAGGTATCAATAGCCGGTACATTATCACTGGCCACGTCCCAAGTATCGGGCGTGAAGGTAGTGTTGTACTGTATGGAGTAGCGCAGAATGGGGGCACGGTTGTCTCCCATGGAGTGCCAGCGAAGTGTAGCAGTTTTCTCGTGACATTCAATTCCGTCTAACGCGGGAGGGTTCGGCTTGTCTGGAAGTGAACAAGATTAAAGAGTCTTTAAGAATAAAATATTGTTTAACTGTGTAGAAGTCAGCCGATCGCTTAATAACCCCAGACATCTGACGAAAGGATTTGGAAGCTAGTTTTTATAAGCTTCTAACTTATAACCGCAACCACAGTTCAGCCATATTTAGCGACGTTAAATCGTATTAATTCAGCAAACCCCAAACGCACGCCGGCGTTCGTGCGTTCTTCTGTGTATTGAATTTCCACGACTAAAAGGTTAATAAATATTTTTTGATGATTTGACGATTCTCTGAAGTTTTCAAAGAAATGGTATCCTGTTTAACCAGATTAAAACTTAGTAGGCAATGTCTTAAATAAACGCTTATTTCTGGTCTACTGCAAACGGGTAAGTATTACATTTCTAATCCCTATTAACTAAGCGGCAGGGCGAAGGCGACTAAAACTGTTGTGGTTGAAATCAGAGACAGGTAAACTTCTAAGACTACAGGGAAAATTTTAGAAGCCAGAAGCTTATTATGAGTTTGAAAACCACAACAGTGGCCAGCAACTCCAAACTTTGTTTTCAAATCTAAAATAAACGTTCAAAGTTTCATTATACATGTTAGAGCAATCATAACCGAGTTAGTTCTGGCAAACTGCCGAATAGTTTACGAAGTTTTCGGAATACTGCAGTTCAGGTTACGACACGTCGTAAAGCTTGGTTTGTTCGAGTTACGTCATTATTATATTGTAAGAAATTCACTAGAGATTGAGAACATTTATTAAAGGAATGCTTCGCGTTAGAGTAAATAAAAATGGTACTTCTGGAAGTTATTTTAGTTTTTATAGCATATGATATGACTTCGCACTTCTTCCTGCGATGTTGCTAATGACTGTTGTTCTAAGTTTACCAAGGATTAATAGTACCAACTATTATTAATAATAGGACATTGTTTTCTTTAACTTACCTTGCACAGTAAGAGTAGCTTGCGCCCTGGCTTCATCAATCGCAGTCTTCGCAATACAGGTGTACTCTCCAGAGTCAAGCTCAGTGGTGTCAGAGATCAGGAGAGAATAGTCATTGGTCATACGGAACCGGGGCTGGTTCTCAAAGTCTATCTGCTGCCCATCATTGAGCCAAATAATCTGCAACTTGAGGGAGTCATCGGCGTTCGCGTTACAGCGGAATGTCGCTGAGGAACCAGCTGCTACTTCGTAATGTTCTGGCTTGTCCGTGATTACCGTGCGTTCTGTGGGAAGATTGTCATATAAGATAAATATCAGGTTGTCCACAAAACTTTATTGGTGTAGTGGAAGAAACAATATCTAAGGTAAATGTGTTTTTTGTGTTTTTTCATATTTGTTGATGGACCTTGATGAATTGCTTGATCGTTTTTGCTAAGCAAACTGTATAATACTTAAAAACTTACTCTTTACATCCAGGGAACCATAAGCGGACTTCTCTCCGAATTTGTTCTTAGCATAACACTGGTACGTCCCCACGTCCGTGTAGGACACATCACGGATCACCAGGTCGCCGTCAGCAGTTATGTTGTATCTAGAAAGAAATAAAACCAATTCAAATGTGTTATATATATTATATATAATAGTCTGTTCTCTTGCTCTTCTAGCTGTCGCACCTACCATGACTGGTCTCTGTATCACATTAAGGTAGACTAAAAGAAAATGCCTTTGGCATTAAGCCAAATAGCCATAATGAATTGTGCAAATTGATCTAGTCTATATAACGATAAGAGAAGGATTTTGTTAATTCAGATCATTCGTTTGATTAAATAATAGTTTTTCAATCGACTCATGGGGTCCTAATTGTGAATTATCATAATTAAATAATTTCAGGCCAATTGTCCCTAGTTACTTTAGCAGCTCATGTAATAAACAATGAATGTATACGTAATAAACTACTAACATGTAATAAACTAAATCAAGGCCCAGAGTAAATTCAAACAACCTGTTTCAATAATAAGTATTCTGCATTCGAATAAACCAAGTCACCAATGTCAGACCCCCTACGGATTAAATCTTAGGAAGCACGTACTTAATCAATTCAATATTGCACGTAATTCCTCTCAATAGGTGTAGCTGCCTTCTAATACAAAAACACTTCGACTATAAAAGAACTATTTTTAACTAAGTTCCACAGAAAAAAGTCATCTATATAAAGCCAAATAAGTACAATACTGACAAAAACAAAGATATACTTCGCCAAAACACCGGGTGACCTTTAACAAACGATCCCCTATTTATAAATAAATCTACCTATCTGGACATTTATTTACAGATTAACCTCTGCCATTAAGGTCCGCAATCGAAATACTTATTTAACAAGATCCGAGAGAAAACTTGGAAGCAATCACTCTTATTGGTTATCGATCAGAACTTGTATAGTAAACCTATTTACTTGACGCTTCGAGGAATAAACTTATTTGATCGATTTGTTCTATGAGTGATGATATTAGTACTTAATTCAATGAACCTGAACTATTTTCATTACTCATACCTAGTAGATGAGAGGATAAATTTCAGTCACGTGAAATAATTCTTCTTAATGTACCACTATCAATGTTTCCGCAACCTCTCGAGAATCCTTTAGAGATGCAGAGGACAAGTTATGGATTTTTATAAATATTATATTATATAACAGAGAAAATGAGCTGAAAGTTAGTTATTTGCGAGAATTTTATTGTGTAGCAAATATCCTTTTTGGCTACCATTTCTTATTGTTATTTCTGTAACAAGTGTTCTCAAAGGAAAATAAATACTTTTAGCTCTTGCGTTCAATAAAACCTTTTCATGAAAAAGGGAAGAGAAATCCGATAATATTTAGTTGAGCGAGCACATCTGTACCATATTCTTACGAGCTGAGAGCTCTAATCCTGTGTTTGTGCAGTGTGAGAAATCGAGCAACGGGTGCGAGGAATTGTGTCGCCGAAACAGGAATATGCTGATTATTGAATCTAAGTATGTTGTGTTCTTATGTCAATGTGATGTTTAGAAGATTCGTTGATCAATCGTACTATAGTTGGAATAGTGTGTAAAAACAAGTTCTACGTTTTTTTTTCTTTTAGTGCGTATAATGTGTAAGTTATGTTCAACGTATTGTATGTACACATTACAAAAACAAGGTTATTATGTATACCGCAAAAACTCGTAAAAATTAAAACAAAATTCAATAAGTACTGGCTAACAAAAGGCATTAAGTTATCGTGCAAACATAAAAGACTACTAAAAGTTTTAACACAAAAAATAAACGACCCTATCCTTACAAAACATTATAAACAATATGAAAAAACCTTGAAAAAATGTGTAGTTACCGCAAAGAAAATACAATATACAAACAAAATAAATAAATCAACAAACAAAATTAAAACAATGTGGAGTGTCATAAACGAAAGAACCAATAAAAAAATTAAAAAAGACAAATCTAATCTGAAATTAGTAGTAAACGAAACCGGCATTACAGACCCCAAACAAATAGCTACCCTCTTTAATAACTTTTTTGCATCCATCGGTGAAAATACCCGACCTACAGGAAAAGAAGCAACAGGTGACCCCGTGGTTTGCCCAGCAGATAAAACAATGTTTCTAAGCCCCGTTTATCCATACGAAATAAACAAAACAATAAAAAACCTAAAAAGTAAAATGAGTTTCGGCATTGATGAACTGCCCCCTTCTCTTCTAAAACAATGCGCAGACGAACTCACCTTACCATTTCACATATTGGTCAACCAGTCATTCGAAGAAGGTACCTTCCCACACCTACTGAAAAAATCATTGATTAAACCTATTCATAAAAAAAACTCGAAACTTGACCCTAATAACTATCGACCCATAGCTTTGTTACCGACTGCTTCTAAAATTTTCGAAAGGATTATGTGCGACAGAGTCTATTCTTTTTGCGAAAAATTTAAACTCCTAGACGACAGCCAAAACGGTTTTCGTAAAAATAGATCCACAACACTTGCAGTCTATAAATATGTTCAAGAAGCTCTCAGCATAATTAACAAGAAAAGGTATGCCGTAGGTATACTACTCGATATGACGAAGGCATACGACAAAGTGCAATTCAACATATTACTGAATAAATTGTACGGTTTAGGAATACGAGGCAAGGCTCACGATTGGTTTGCGTCATACTTGCAGGGTCGTACACAATTAGTAGAAATTGAATATTTTAATAACCACACTAGAGAAATAGAAAAAGTAAGATCCGACGATAAACAAATAACTGCGTCTATCCCTCAAGGAAGTGTTATAGGCTGCCTACTTTTCCTCATTTACATAAATGACCTGCCAAAGTCTATAAATGGGCCTTGTGTATTATTCGCGGATGATATCTCATTACTCGCCCAATGCAAAAACGACGTAAACATAAATGACAACCTGTGCCCCCTCCTATCTCAAGTAAATGACTGGATGTATAACCATAACCTAGAAATAAATTACACAAAAACTAAAATAATAACTTTCCATCCTCGTCAAAAACCCGCCCTAAACATAAACCTAAATTTCAGAGGTATAAATCTTGAACAAGTAAACGACTTTACACTTCTCGGATTGAAAATCGACACACATTTAAACTGGAAGGCTCATGTCCAAAAAATAAAAGCAAAGCTCTCAAAATTCTCCTACGCCTTACGCGAAATCAAAAAGACGACCAACATAGAAACTGCTCTCACAACTTACTATGCGTACGCACAAGCATGGCTTAGCTATGGTATTATTTTGTGGGGCAACAGTACGGATTCACATACAGTTTTTACGCTGCAGAAAAAACTAATCCGGGTAATAGCAAATATTGAACTAACGGATAGCTGCAGACCATATTTCCACAAATATAAAATACTTACCCTGACCTGCCTTTACATCTTAGAGACATGTAAATTTGTTCGACAACATCCAGACTTCTACACTACCCGAGAACAAACACAAAATAAATACACATTACGCCACAAAAACAGACTGAACCTACCCCCATCCCGACTAAAAATGTATCATTCCGGCCCCCTAGTAATGTCCATAAAAATATATAATAAACTGCCAAAAGAAATTGTAGAAATAGAAAAAAACAATGTATTTATAGTAAGACTAAAAAAATATTTAATTGAAAGATGTTATTATACCTTGAAAGATTTCTTTGATGAAACGAATGAATGATATCATAATTTAATTAGTATAAAAGTACAAATACAATAATATTTTTTTAAGTATATCACAAGAAATGATTATTTTCAAAAATACTGTAAAGTTACATATCTAATGTATCTCTCTAATGTATAAGATGTTTTACGTTACGTAGTTCTAGATTAGAAACATTTTTACTATTAATAATTTAATTTACCTAATTTCCTAATTTAAATTAAGTTCATAATTCTATTTTATTTCCTAATTTAATTTAATTTCAAAATATATTTAAACTTTATAATTTCATAAGTTAAATTTTGTTATTTTGTCATATAAGTTGATTTTATTATTTGTAATGTAAGTTAATTTTATTATTTCGTAATTTGCTGTGCCCGACAGGGTCCATAATGATCTTAATACTGATACACATATAATAACACCTAATGCAACATTATGGAATGCAATAAACATTTGAATTTGAATTTGAAAGGTTCAAAAGATATACTTACTTCCCACCAGTGACGTCAACATCATCCTTCATCCATTTGACGATGGGTTTCGGCGCTCCAAACACTCTGCACTTAAGCACAGCCTCGGAACCGTCCACCCGGGTGAGATTCTCTGGGCCTTCCTTGATTTCTGGTGGAATCGCTGTAAAAATAAACAACCATTTATTATAAAGTATAAATTACGTAACACTCCTATTTTAATTAGTGTCTTAGAGAAAATTCTTAGCTGAATCTAGAGACCGAAAAAGAAATTTGACTTGTTATTCTTATCAGACCGGACAAAAAGAACAAAACTTTATATGTACTAGTAAGAAGTTGCGGAAAAATACCCGTCGGTTATAAAAGAACACCTATTAATATGACTCCTCAATCTAAACTCAAGAGGTGCATTTCTATTGGATGTGAGTGATGTTCTATGAGTTTAATGAATACATAGTCTAAATCCGATTATTTCCAACCAGTCAAAGTATTGATGTATGAAATCGCAACATATACGTCATGACATTAGATTTTTGGACAAAATTTGAGTAGGTATCTTCGTCAATTAATAAAAGTTTTATTATCCAAACTAATATTATAAATGCGAAAGTAACATTGTCTGTCTTTATTTTCTACACGCCTACACTACAGAACCTATTTGTGTGTATTCATTCGGTACAGACATAGTTTGGAACTCGAGAAAGGCCATAGGATAGTTTTTAAACCAAAAATCTGCAGGAAGTCACTATTCCACGCGAACAAGTCGCGGGAAAAAGATAGTGTATAATAATAATTCATTTTGAAAAGTCATATGTATTTTTGTCCTTGGAAACTAAGATATTCCCTATATTACACATTGAAACACATAAACCTATAATAGGGTGAAAAACAGCACAAAGGTGATTAAACAAACAAAATGATTATGAATGACTTGTTTTATTAAAATTATAGATACTTCTATTATCTCACTACCAGTAAACAGCCCTCGGCACCGTTGTGAAATCCATTCATTTGCCAGTATTTTTTTATCAGAGCACTGTTTCCATTGTATCTTGTAATCCGTCACGACATTTTGCAAAATATTTTCTTTATGTATACCACCAAATAACCCCGTTTCCGTGTTCCACCAACACCAACGTTTTACAAATACAGAGTAAATGATCACAAATGAAGGGAACTCAAGCCCCATTTAAATGAAATCATTACATTTACAGCAAATAAGACGCTCTAAGGGGATCAATTACAATTCAGCGAAGGTTCTAATTTTCATCGATTCCGTCGCTGGGAAACTTGAAGATCCCTCTTTAGATTAATTGGGCACGTTTTGTCCCTCGCTTTACTGCTATTAGTCACCATTTCAGATATCAAGATCTATTCAAATACTCCAACAAATGTGTTTTCGCAGTCTACATAATAAGTAGTAATGTTGTGCTGTATATTTGCCAAAAACTGTCCTGTTTACCACATCGTGGACTAACAAACAGGTACATATATCACATTATACAAAATGCTAAGTGCATAATAATATCCGTGGGCAATATTTCTCGCGGATGGCGGGTGGGCGTGCGAATGTGTGCCGCAGTCCGCGAGGATGTACCCAATGACTAGGTACTAGAGACAATCTCTTTATACACATGAATTCGCAAATTGCGGCCCCAGACTGTATTATTTGGGGCTCTTGTTGAATAGCTAAGTACATTCAGTACAGTACAGTCGTACGCCTGTTTGTTAGACATCAAACTTTTTTTTACATAAGCAAAATTGATATAAACTGGTTATGCAAAAATAAGTCATTAAGTAATAAACCGAATTCTATTTTCCGAAGTAAGATATATTCATGATTGAAGAGAGCACAACTTGTGGAAAAATCCCGAATCTTATGAACATTCCCCTGAATATTCGTGATCAAAGAAAATTACATCGATATTCAACGTATCAAAATACGCAGAAGTAATCAGGATCGGGTGTACTTAAAAGAAATTATTTTTTCGAACGTTCTATTTGATACTCGTTCAAATAGCCGGCAATAAAATGGGGAAACGGTAAATAATATTCGAGGGCGCAATATTATGAAAAGGGCCAATCAAAATGAGTGAGGAACGAGGACGCAAATTATCATTACCTAATATTGTACGTTACGTTAAATATTGTGTTACGAGGATAAGGGAATAAATCCTGTTATTTTTGTATTCCCGAACTGTCCGTTTCTGTATATTTTATATGATGTTGATTTGTTATGGTAACCGCATTAGGGCGATTGTGAAAACAGATGCGTTTGTTTTACAATATCCAAAAATAAATGTGATTCTCTTCCTGAGTGTTGAGATGGGAAGCAAAACAATATTTGTACAAACATTGGCATCGCACCTTTTTAGTGGTAAACATTTAATACAAACATTGGAAACAGCAATGGCTTTGTCTGCTATCAGAATGGGCACGGCTCTCTGCCGGTAGTGACATAACGCAGTATTCCCCGTACTTTGCAACTGTCCATCTTAATCTCACACTGTACTTCCTACTTGGCCCTCTTTAGTCGTTTCATTCATTCTATTAAGAGTTTAGTTTAACGAAGACGTATGTTCCTGCTTTTCTTAGCAACGTCCTAATATAAAATCACGAATGTGTACTTTTTAATAGAAACTTCCTGATCCTATGATTAAGGGAAAATTGAATTTGGAATTGGGATCGTAAGCAGCTTCAAAAAGCTACGAGATCGATTTATAGTCGTGGTAAAATATCGGTAGCGGTTGTTACTTTAATACAGGGAACATTAATGTTTTTTTTTTAACAAACAATGAGTACATCGTCGTAAATTGCTTCTCTGTTTACACATGTCGAAAGATTCTCAGAGGTAGCTTGCAAACTTATGAGAATGTTTTCGCAAACATAAAAACACATACTGCATTTCCAATAAAATAAAATATGATCGAACGGCATATCTTTATCGAGGAATTACATAATTTAATAGACCTATAGAATACATTATGAGGGGGATCTAGGGCGAACAATACGACGTAAAAGGAATTTCCGATGTCACAGGCTTCTGTATTCATTATTGTGGATTTTGGGGTTGACTCACAGCCACAGACACAAAAGGTTATTGAACTCGACTGGAGGAAAAAATCGGATATTAATCCACACCCGCTGACGCACCCATCTTTGTATTACGAGGGTTAAATTCAAATGTTCCGAGGTAAATTGGGGTGCTACTGTAATTTACTATACCATATTGCTCGAGAATAGGTGTGAGATAACGATCACGATAAGGAGTGAAAAGAGATTGCTCCTTTACCGTTGCTTTACATTTTTTACGTGTGTTGAACAGATTTTTGCGTCTATTGTTACTTGCTAACATCTGTTCCTACATGCAGTTGTATATACGGATCTAAAGGGGAACGGATTTCCTAATGCTATATTTAACAATCGATTAGTTTTAAATCACGACGATCAAACGTGTTCCCTAATTCCCAATTAGCCATGGCCGCTTTCAACATTATTCGATCGTTAATTTTAGGAATTTGTATTTAATCTCTTTTCGTTGTAAACAAAGCACAAAAACTCTTTAACAATGAAGGAGAAAATCAATAAGTAAGACTGAAAAGAACTGTTAATCAAATAAAACCGAGACAAATCTTTTTTCAACCCTCAAAGGGCAGGAGTTACGTCATAAGCTCACGCTATTGGGCAATTAATGGGGTGCAGCTGCATACTACCGCCATAATAGGTAGTGTAGTGCTTTACTTGAGACTATGGCCGAAAAGAATTTAATCTTAACGCAAACTTAACATGAACATACTTTTTGGACACTAGGACCAGAAACTTGGGAAAGGACGTATGGAATAATTTTAGTGAATGCTTCTTATTATTCTTATTACTATGAAAGCCAAGGTTTAGCAAATTATTAAATGAGTTTCAAATCTAGTCTTATAACTCTTCGGTACAACTCGAAGCATGGAATATCTGCAGATATTTGGTTGTAAGGATTTCAGTTGTCACGTGTTTTTAGACAAACCATCATAGATTGCTCTATATTACAACCATGATACATGTGACAAATCCGTGACATATTTGTAGAGGACCAATTAAGATGTAAGGTCGTACGTGACTTCGCGAAGTTTTAAACGTTCTGCTGATTAATTTCTGTCTCTTGATATAAATTGGAGATAAGCTAAGAAGCGTTCATAGATAGTGTAGGCGTGTTTTATATCGATTTGAATACGTCTGGGGTGTTTACTGAAGTGTGAGTCACGTGAAGTACAATACAGTTATAAGAATGGCGGGAAGTTTACTCAAAATTGATATTTTTATGACAATGACACAGTTCTGCAATGTCAACTTTCAAAAGCAATTGAAATAAGCGATTTAGCTTTGACTAAAGTAATTGCTGACCTTGCAAGAGGCCATTGCCACGATTTTTTTTTACTCTGGGAACTTTTCTAGGAAATGCATATTGTATAATTAATTCCGTTTGTCTCATAAAGCTTGAAAGGCGAACCTGTAGAACCTGTCCTACATACACACACCATAAAACGAAAACAACATGCATACCTTCTGCAAATCGATCTCACGCGGTTAAATCATAACTCGATCTTTACCGAATACATAACGATCTGTTGTCGGTAACTAAAGTATCATGCCGTGGTCCCCCGCTAAGAAAAGCCCGCCCCTCCTTTTCCGATGACTAAGGAGTTTTATCAAATCAGGCACGAAAGCTAGTCTCGACCGATAAAATCTGTGTAAAATATTTTCCTGTTGTTTTTAACACCCTACTTCTTTGCACGCTTTGATTTTGATCGATGTTCGAAACAAAGGAATGAAAAGAAAGCTTCATTAGATTTTTAAATGCTAAACTGGCTGATTTTTGCGAGCAACAGAACAATGAATTTTATAGTAACTAAATCACAATTGCAAACAGGATGGACTTAACACGGCTATTATGAGGGAACAATTGAAACTGCAGCAATTTCTCTTGACTATGGAGCCGGGTGGTGCACAATGTCAATACTCGGTCGCGGTTGGGTCGAGGCATCCCGGGCTATCTAGGTCATGGCTGGGAGCTGCGTAATCCCGGACCGCGGACCGTGGATCCTACATTTTGTATGCAGTAAAGGTATTGTAATTTGTACAGCGAGAGCCAGAGATAATGAACGTTCCAAGTACGTGTTTTCTGTTTATTTGTGCGAATAACGTGTTAATGAACTAAATTCGTGTTGCGGTCAGCCGAACGCTCTGCAGATTATTTTGGGGCATTATATTGTTTTGTTTTTAAGTGTTATAAATATGAAAGCAATAGAAACAATATGAAAATCGGTAAATGATGCGTTAGGCAAAGGTTCTTCATAAAGCGTCAACAATCGTAAGACTGCCCATAGCTTATCTATACGATGAAATAAGGCCCTTATCGATTAACGTGCTTTATCTTGCCCTGACTTTTCCAGCATAAGCCAAGACTGAATTTACGATTTATGATAAAAAGGTACTATTTCAAAGATTTATTTGTACCTAATAATCTTTGAAATAGTACAAAATACCTAACCTATTGATTTGTCTAAAAACGAAAAAATACAAATCTCGATGCACCACACACATTAAAACCTTTTTGCTACAAAAACACATTTAAATATACGGGAACATAATAGTCAAGTGTCGCTCCATTATTGTGATGCATAATGTTATTAAAGATAATGAACAAAAAATTACACAAAGCCAATCGTTTAAAAATACATTTAAAATGCATAGAAACTGAAAGTAAATAAGGCGCGCAAGTGCTTTGTGTAATAAAACTCTGATAATAATATTTAGTACGTATGTAAATCTAATTAATTAAGCCTTTTTGTTAAATTATGGTCCGAAGGCGAGTCACGCAACCGAACACAAAGTACATTTGGCTTTCAGTGTATGGAAACATCATTTAGAAATATTATATTGTTACATTGATTAATTGTAGCTCAACTAGACGAGAATAGATCGGCGAAATCAAGCACACTGTCTTCTGAGCTCTGAGCAAATAATCTCTGTATGTTTTGTCTGCAAGGAATTTCATCTTAATAATCGGGTCACGTGAGCACCTAATATGAAAGCGGGACTTATAACGACTGCCACCCGACGCATGCTTGGGCTCCTTTATCGAGTGTCATCATACTTGGGAGTCGAATGAATGAGTCTGCGACCATGACATCACGATATCAGCTTAGGTAATAATTAAGACACGTATAACGGTACCACTGCGCTATCTGAGACTCTACTAATTAAAATGGCCTTTCGCGCAATTAAATATTTCGCGTTATACAAATATACGACTTAGATGAAAGACATAACGTCCATTCAAGTATATTAAACACAAACTACTGTGACAGAAAATTATACAGCGGATATCCTTAGCTTTGAAGCTTTTATAAACGTTTTTGCAATTAACAAGGCCTTTGTGAAACTAGTTTCTGCACTGGACGGTAAAAGTCGTTTCAATATAAAAGCAATTTGGAATTTTGCTTTGAGGGAAGGACGGTAAAGTCCCGCAGTATTGAGTTAGGAACCCCAAAACATGGACAGGAAAAGGACCCTAAACAACTATTGCAAATGGCAATCGATTTGGTTCTCCCCTGCTCCGTCCATTCGTGTAGCGAATCGATAACGATTTCGCGGTATCGTTACATCGTAACACATGTGTATACAAAAGTTACAAATATATCCCTCACTATACAACTATGGGTTGTACGAATAAATAAAGTAACTATTGTGTAACATTCCAAGAAGGGAATACCTACACAACAAGTTCTTTACAAAGTCTAGTACAAGGAAAACTTTCAGCCTCGTTTCCATAATATTTACATTTGCTTAATTCTATAAGAGCAGTAGACTGGGAACTGCGATAAGTAGCATAGTTATATCGATAAATAATATTTCAGAACGAGCATCGATCCCCCTTGCATTATGTATCGCAGACGAACTGTGACGTCTGAAGAGCAACTTTTTCAAACATAATAGAGATTTATTCCCAGTATTTATGAGTTCATCTAGAAATGACTGGGGCGAATGCCAAGTGGAACAACAACCTATGAATAAATGTCGACTATATTTTTTGCTACGTAAGACTCTATTTGGGATGTGTTAGTTTGTAACAAGTTTATGTACTTAATATTTGTGGACATTAACTATGAGTGACAGTTTATGGTGGTTGAAGCTTTGTCGTTTCCTTATAAAGTTGTAGAAGACTATTAGGTAGCAATAAAATGTTGGTCTTTATTGAACTTGTTTCTTTTAAACTGTGTAGAGAGCCAAGGGGACGTTGAAAACTGCAGCCATATATTAAGTTGGCAAGAGGAATGTTGCACGCGTGAAACTCCCCAAGTTTCAGAGTTACTGAATGAATAACAGCGGCAAGCGATTTATTAGCTGTTGCTACCATACGTTATAGGAATAGTTTAAGAGTTATTTAGTACATTTTACTAAAATGCTATATCATATATTTACGTCAGACTAACATAAATCATGTCTAGTTAATGGTATTTTATAAAAGACGACTTATGTGACATGCTTACAACGTAGAAAAGATTAAACGCTAAGAGTACAGTCAAGTATAAAATCTAGGACAAGGAGGCGCCGTTGTCGGGACTAGGCGCCGGCTGGGAAAAAGTACACAGCGTTAACAGCATACATTTGCAAATATTTCATGGTCTTACTAAAGTGGAATACTGCAGGTAGGACGAGACGCGTATGACATACGTCTAGAAATGTGAGAGTACAAGTACGAGAGGATTAGCTTTCGATGCGTTGCACTCATCGATCGACAAGTTTCTTCGTTGGACAAGTATACGTATAAACACAAAAACATGTCGTCCACGTTTACTTGGAAGTTACACAAGTGTCAGATAAGTAATGCACACAGTGCGACACCGACAAGCGAAGCACTAATTTCTAACAGTTCTTTCACGCTTTTGTCATTTCAAAAATGTAAAATGACGTTAACAATGGCATGACATATTGTTATTTCGATACGCTTTTCATGATGTGATTAGATCGTCACTAAATATAGAAATAACTCTCTCATTTAGTTTGATCTTTTTCTTCCCTTGCAGCGCATTTTTTTTTGTGAGGGTAAAATTATCAAATGTCTTCTCTCGTCCAGGGTAGCCCAGCAACCCCGACTGAACATCAGCCCTGTAGGGCCCCGTCTTTGATGGTCTATTAAGTTAATAGACCATCAAAGACATTAATAGTATTAGCTCTATGGGGCACACCATCGTAGGCTCGGGTCTGGTTTTTGTCGAGCGGTCTACACCTAGACTACAATAATTTGTAAGTCATAAAAATAATTGTTCAGGGCGGGAATCGCGCGATACGTTGACCAGTCAATACGCCAACTTAGTTTAGTATTAAGAATAAAACAGGTACTCACATTGAACATTGATGTAGACATCTTTGTACACGTATCCGATGGAGCTGGTAGCGTTACACCCGTAGTTTCCAGTATCCTTCTTCACAAGGTTCGTGATGATAATGCTGTTGGAGTTAACTTGTCTCCTTGAGTTCGGTTCCGCTTGTTCTATGGGTTTTCCATTATGGATCCAGGTTATCTTTGGCTCTGGAGTACCACTAGCCTCACACTTGATCTCAGCAGTCTCGCCTTCAGCTAGGTTCTGGAATTCCGGCTCCACCGTGAAGAATGGTGCGGCTAGGGAAATATAAAACAAAATAATGTTAATTTTGTAACATGTTATTTAATAGAAAAAGTCATAGGAAAAATTAAACCTATATTAACTGTCTCGCGATAAAGGGGAAATGATCAATAATGCAGCTTAAAGCAGATTGGTTTATTTTCCTTCAATGTACATAATTATTACGTCAGTAATGTAGTGCTCGACAATCAAACAAAATGTTCATGGATTAATTGATTTAACACACGTTATATATTGCAGGTTACGTGCAAAATTAGCACAGATATTAATGTGACCTCTTCTCTTAGTTTCAATAAGTTGATCCAAGTTCCTAACTAACTTACTAACGTGAGTTTCCTAAAACACGTACTGGTAATCAAACACACATTTGTCGTGTGAAATATAATTATGTAAGTACACCAAAGTTTAGTAGTCCACTTTAAATCTCAAGACAAAAGAAAGAAAATTGCGTAACACTTCCCCTCAATTTGTATAAAAACAATCTACATAAATAAATCAGTAAGATTCTACCCAAAAAATAACAATTTCAGCTACAACACGCTTGTATGAATAGAGATCTCCTACATTGCGTATTATTGTATAACATATTGTAGGTTAATATAATGGAGAACATGATGTCAGAGGTCAAGTGTACGGCCTTTTAGGAAGATTTTATTGGCATTTAAATGGACCTGTGCTGTTAATAATTTTCATTCAAACCGATCCCTTGGATGTATAATAAAAAGAACACCTTCTATGAGGCATCAGATGCTTTAGAACTCAAAGAACTGAGATCCTTCTTTATTAATGTCGACTATTAACATTCACATGTCATCGAATGTCCATTAATAGAACTTACTGATGAGTAATCAATGACTGGAATGCTTCGGCTATGATTGTCTTAAGATTATTTTTAACTTATCCTTTGTTGTTGACAAATATAAATCTGACTGCACGTATTTAAATTCTTTGAAGCGATTTTTCATCCATTTTCTATTGTGTATCGTATTTGAAATTACAATAGGTACGAGGTAGTCTCGAGCGACGGTGGTGTACAATGCTCGAGGCGATTACGGCAGTCTGCATGCCACACTCAAGTGCTCGCAATCTAGACGAATTGTTGACGAAACAAAATGGAGATGAACTACAAGCGTAAGCAAGCCTCGGGCTTTCATACGCTTTCCTTATTTATGTCTGCGTCTTTTTTGTAAGACAAGCTGTTCCGTTTTACATGAAAGCGTGGTTGCTTATGAAATATGGCTTTAAAATATGTTTTTAAAAAACATAATCTATTTCTTCTGTAGAAAGACTCTTATTTCATATACTTTTCGCACTTACATACTGCGATTGAAATGCAACGAATATATGCTCGAAGCAAATCAAATTTCTGACAGAGACGCAGCCATTTCACATCGGCACGAGACAGTCTAGGAATCGAATCAGGAAATCATGTCTGATGTAGTTATAATCAGATTACATGGGAAGTATCTAATAAAGTATTAGATTAAACTAGGATTGGCGCGCAAGTAACTTATTCACTGCAATTTGTCGTCCACAATTAATATGGAAATTGCTTAATTGATGTTTTCTTGAGTCAAGTAACTTCATTAATAAACTAGAACCAACTACCATTCAAGAAATTGCTTTATTGCCTCTAGTGTACACTTCTACGGTAAATCTAATAAGAGAGAATCACAAATCAGATCACGAGGCAAGTGGTATAATATTTACAAAGCGTGCTATTAGAGGCCGGCCTCCAAACATGACGTCGCAATAAAAAGGGCCGGACGTTTATCCAGCGCTACGGGAACCGGGTTACAGTGTTATTTGCGTGCATGACAAGTGATTACGTCATCGACATGCGTGTTCACGCGTGGACAGCATCAGTTATAGCAATTGAATTTATTGACCAGTCCACTACTACATATATCCACGTGTAGGTAGCTCATTTTTAAGATTACATGCTTATATTTTTTTATAAGCCTGAATCTTTTTTTAAGAAAGGTTGCCCCACGCTTGGATTTTCTTCTGTGTCGTGGGTGGTTACAACCAGACTCGGAACAACTATTTGTGGGTCACACAAAGAGTTGTTCCATGCGGGAATCGAAACTTTAACACGTCGCGAGACAGCCAGTTGCCCAGCCACCGCGCCAATCGTGCAGTCATACCTGGTGTATTTTAAAGTAAAATCCAAATAATCCCGAAGACTTCAGGTTGGAGATTGATAAGTAAACACAATGGCTAAATTCACTCAGAATGTATCACCCTAGCAACATCGTGTCGAGAGAAGCAAGTGAGGGATTATCCAAGGAAAATGGGCGGGAGGACACCTGTTACTAATAACATAATACGAATAGTAATTCATGGTTATGGCCTACAGAAACTCCCCCATCGTTTTGCTGAAGTGAGTTATGGGGAGCTCATATAGAAAATTCCCTACTAGAAGCCAATTCCGTTATGCGATGCTAACATCAATGATTGTAACAGAAAACGGAAAATAGAAATTCCTTTCAGTATAGGAACGAGAATATAGATTAAACTCAAGTATATTATAAAAGACAGTATGTTTTAAAATAATGAAAGTTGATGAGGCTTTTTCAAGACACATTTTGTTTCAAAAACGACATTACAGATAAAATATTCGGTTCAAGAACAAGACCTTAATTCATGTCAACAGGGCCTCAATTTCTCGCTATTCTCGGTCACAATTTTGCTGTGACCTAAGTGTGGACGGCATTTTATGATTTTGTTTGTGTAGCCGTTACTTTTAATAATTTAGGGCCATCATTTAGGTATTTTCGGCTATCATCATGTGTTCGCCATATGCTTTCTCATATTCGGTACAATGATGTCATTGGACCACAATATTCACACATTTAAAGAACAATTCATAATATCGACTTTATTTGTATGTATGTGTGCTCAAAAGCTATAGTAAAATAAAGTCTATGATATTGGGAGTCAAGAGTTGTCCTTTGATCAATTCAAGATTTTGAGACAATATCAGACAGGGTCTTTGAAGTATAAAATCATTGGAATATGAAAAAGATGAAAGTAACCCTTGTTCCCGTATGTTATGTCACATCCAATATGAACAAAAAAATTTCTATAAAATGAAATAATACTACTCGTCAAAAGGAAAATGTCAACCTTTATCAAATGTTCAATTTATTAAAAAGGAAAGTTTATTATAAATTCGTATAATTTTCGCAAAAAAAGACACCGCCCATATTTCGAAGTTCAACACCAATTTTAAGTTACCGACGAGCCAGCTTTTATTCTCATTTACTTTAAGCGTCATAATGTTTCGATCAAATAATATTACCATAACGTTCAGTGAACACATGACATACAAACAATATTTTAACACAATTACTGTAGTCTCTGGTGATGGTAATCACATTTACATACTTCGCTACGCCACGAAGGTTCCAAACATAGGTTTAACGACACCCACTCGAGTTGAACCATAAACAATTACATATTAATTACGAACGCAGCCAAACTTTTAAAGAAGAAAGCGGAAATGACGCTGTCACTGTCATTAATGGTATCATGGCGGGCCCTTGCAAAGGTACGTTTACAATCAGATTGCGGAAATGGCGTACGGTTTGTAGGGCCAGCTTTATTTGGCACGTCTTTATTGTGTGTTGGACGTCAGCTGAATAATTAGGAGCCGGCTTTTGTTACACCATTTTTAAAGTCGCACGAGAAAATTGAGGGTGACACTTTTCCCACTTCCCAGGGGTAAACAGCTTTTTTACGACGGAAATAACTTCAATTAACGTCGTCTTCATTAGAGCTAATGTTGCAGTTAATTACGCAAGCAGGGGCGCCAATTTACATTATTACTTTTTCGAAAACTTTACAATGAGACTGAATGCGACACATATAACATTTTTGTATTAAATTAATTTGGTTATGAAATATATTATATCAGGCAATTTGCATATGGAAATGCTAGTGTGTGCTTCAAATGATTTAAGAGAAAGCTAAAATGTACATTTGAATAAAATGCTGAAATGTCTAGAAAAATCCAACAACGTAGGCAATTTTTAAAACCGTCTGGTTCCAGCTCAGAATAAAATTTAATAAAACCAAGCAGGCGCCGCGACGTTTGGAGGTATTCGTTCTTCCAGACATTTAAATATACTTACTAGGAATTATTGTGAACTCTACAATCGAAAAAATATTATGCGGTTCAACGGTTCAATACTGAACAACTGGACTTGAATAACTTTTACGAATGAAAGAAACTGCTCGGGTGATATTATTGTATATAAACGTCCGACTTTTTTCAGATCATATATGAAGAGAAGAGATTCAGTTCTGGATGGATTTAATCAATAATTTTCCAATATTAAACTATGATAATGAGATGTAAGTACTCAATACCTGTGTCTGCAGTACATTGGAATTGTGCAAGTATTTGCAAGATTATCAATTATTAAACTCACCTTCAATATTTAGCAGTATGGAGTAAGACTGAGCAGTTCCAACACCGTTGCTGACCTCACAGGTATAAGTGCCCTGGTCTTCATACGTCGGATACCTGATCACTAGCGTCTTTCCATAATTATCTTGAGTAATGCCTTGTGAAGAAACTATGCTTCGTCCGTTCTTCTTCCAAACTATTTGCGGCAAAGGCCTGCGGGAAATATAGATGTTTTTAGTTTTAAATGAAGGAATTTAGCTAATAAAAGTGACTAAAGATATGCAGTCGAAGGAAAGTGGAAAGTACGTTTTAATTCAATGTAAAACATAGATCGTCTGTTCGAGATAAACTCATAAACAACTGAACGAATTTTTAAGCGATTTTTACAAGACGATAAACAAAATGTTGGAAATTGATTTTTGATTTAGGTTTCGAAAATTTTTGTTGTGTGAATGGAGAACCAATTAATAACAATTCTCTACACATTTTGTCATAACCTTTCCAACTATCGTCTGTCCTATCATCTATAAATAGTTTCAATTGCCTCAAATTCAGTAGGCACGTCAAATATCATGGAGTGAATTGGCGGCATGTATGTAACTCGATAGCGGAGAGAAAAGCCCACTCGCGACCACTCATGCACGCGTAGCGGGGGCGCAATAGGTCAGTACCTGCACTCAGATCATAGGGCTGCTACCACAAGAATGTAAAAGAAATAAAGATTAATTGAATTGATTGAGAGTGCCCCATACTAAGGAGTAAGAGAAAACAAATGGATAAAGACAGTATCATATTTTTTAGATTTAACTTTTTTTTGTAGACTTCATGAGTAGTGAATAGGAGAGCCTATGAAAATAAAAGCTTTCTTTTATAATCGCAGATAGTTTTCAAAGTACTCCTATGATCTTAATGCCTTGTTAGTTGAATGTAGACAGCCCTATATCAGCTGTCGCAAGCGTAGAATTGACATGACTAACCTAAAATCTCGGATTACACTTGTAAGTAGAATGCTAGACTTCTACTGGTTTTGTGAATGAAAAACTATGCTACAAGTATCTCAATGGACTCGTGTGAGGCTGACGATCTTTCAAGAGCAATTAGAATTAGGTATGCAATAAATTATGACACAGATGTGCACTTTTAACATAAACAATCCTCACGTCTGCTCAGTCCGTTAGTGTTTCCGTCCATTAGGCGCTCCTAAGTAGAATGTAGAACTCTTTCGCAGAACACAGGGCAACGTACTGTGTATGTATTATGTCGCGCTCGATAATCCTATAACGTCGCCACTACACTATGGTATGCATTTTCTAAGCAGAGTTTTATGTAAGGAATATTATATAGAATTCGCAAAGAACTTAATAATAATTTAAAAGAACAACGCAATAGTGCGTAACCCTACAGTTTGCGTGTCTACAAACAACATTGTTATCGATCAGTCGACTCTTACAGACACAGTACGACGAGTTTTGCTTCGTTCCAATCTTTCCTTCAACCTACATAACAAAGAAATCGTAGATACTCACGTTCCACCGTAGATGCAGTACAGTTCCACCTTCTTCCCCTTCAAAGCTTTCTCGACCTTCCTGGTGGTATACTGGCGTACCGGCTCATGCCTGTTCAAGGTAGGTGCAATACCAGTCTGCGTGACTTCTAAATAAATCTTGTTACCAAACTTGTACTCATTTCTGAAGATAGAATTAGCTGTACAAATGTAGGCGAAGTCAACGCTAGCGTCGTAACGAGTCACGTTAGAGAACCAGAGGTTTCCTTCAGGATCTAGGGTCATGCGTGAGTTGTTGATGGTTTTCAGTTGACCCTGGTCGCCTTGCAACATCCAGTATACTTTAGGTTTGGGATGACCATCGGGTGGTTCACAGGTGAGTTTGAAAGGTTTGCCTTCCTCTGCTCTGACGACTTGTTGGCTGTCTGTCTCCTTGAAGGAATTGAGTTCAGCTCGTCGTACGAAGACGCTGTTGGACGCGGCTGTTCCCCACTCGTTGTATGCGAAGCACTGGTACTGTCCGAGGTCCTCATCACGTGGCTGGCTGACCACGAGAGTACCACGGCCTGATTGCTGCGAGATACGATTGTCGTAACTCGTGTACTCGAAGGGTTTGCCGTTTTTGATCCATCGGTATCTGTTGGCAAAGAATATAAATTAATTGTAACCTTCATAATTCTGTTAGATAATTGATATAGACTTTCAATAAGGATAATTTTCATAAAATCATCTATAGTTAAAATTTTTCTTCGATCTCACAACAAAAACCTAGACAATACAAATTGCATTCTTATATTTTCTATTTAAACATTACATACCTATTGCAAAATAAAGAACAAAAGCATAAAATAAACATTAATAATATAAAATTAATTAATAAATTATGCACAATGCGGTTTTACATCCCAAGGGAAATGATAACGATATCACTTCCAGTAGAATAAGTATTTTAAATTATTATTTAATACCTACAAAACCCATAAGGCTGTGCACTAAATAGACTAGAAGTTGATTTATCTTCGTTCGAACTTCGAACAATAATTAAAAGCACAACTATAAGGTTCAAAGAAACATGGACAAACATTTTGTACGAATTAACGCCACATTTATCGGTTATGGCATTTACATACCCCTAAGTTACTTTAACCAATGATGATGATTGACTTCACAGATGTGAACAGTATTATTGCAAATACTTACAGCATGTTTCCTACATGCTCAAGCCATAGGATTACATGTCTAGTTAGTCTGACAGATTCATTGACACAAAATATTTTTAATGAAAAATGTTCGATAGTGCTTAGTACCTTAATAACAAAATGTAACTTTCAAACATAAAACGCAACATGGATCGTAGCAAAAACATTTACGCGAAGTACGATACCAGACTTAAATGCGAACAAATTATAAAGTAAGTGCGTCCCTAAGGGCTTTCGTTTCAAGACGTTAGGTTTAGACTTCTACCAAGAGCCTACACGCAGCCGTAAGCGTTTTAAGTCCCAGACGTGTCGCAAAAGGGGAAGTCTCGAGTGCTTTACTTTATTATCAAAAGAGGCTTGCTAAAAGAAAATATGTGAAGTTAAGATTTTAGACGCCACAATCCGATTATAATAAACGGTCAGTAAATTAAATACATAATACTATTTTTTGTCATAATAAAATTGATCAACGGTTTTCCTTCCATTTTTATCCTTATTAATTAATGAGGTCGCTTATTTTCTTTATTTTAATAATGGTTATAAGTACTTGTTTTTATAATTGAATAAGGTATTTATTATTCTCTTTATTAAATATATTTGTGAGCTCAGAATTTAATTATGCAGTGGTTTGTTTGTCGTCATGCCGGTTGTATTTTATACTTTATTTACACACAAATTAGTTCACATATTATTAACTACATGTCAACTACAAACTTTGTTACTATTCCTATACTTATGTATATTATATAAAAAAAATGAAGGGGAATAACTGCATCGTATTTTAATTAAAGTGCAAATAATGCGTTTAGTCATTTCTGATTCAGGATGCGCTAAATTGTTTTGTATAAGAACAACGTCCCGCATATTTAATTTGAATGCCCTGCCAAATATCACTTTTGACACGGTAATAATATATCTTTAAATATCGTGCTTTTGATCTTTACAATCTTCATCAGCAAATGTTGCATATCTTCAATTTGATAACAACCTCACAGTAAGGCGATGCAACTTTTCTCATAAAGGAGGCAACGTTTGCCGATTCATAGTGGGCAGAAGAAGCCTTAACAATAACTTAATGTAATTCCTAGGTAAGTTTAAATATAATCTACTATATCATCAAACTAGGGACCATAAGGGTTAGAAACAAAAAAATATTTGTCGTATTTAAATATATATCTAATGCAAAACCGTAAAAATCAGATCGAAATATCTAATCTGTCTCGTGATAAATAAAGCAATTTTAAAATATCTTTTGTTAGTGACATCGTATTATACGTATCGTAACGACGATCTGTGACATGAATGTGACAAAAGATAGCTAGGTATATCTGAACACAAGAAACTTTTATAATAGGTATCACGGAACATTTTGATAACAAATTCGCTCAATTCGACTTTTCAAGGTTTTAACTGATACTGTTTTATGTTTGTAAACATTGTCGTTTAAAATAATCATGACATAACCAGATTGTTTTTTTTTTAATAAAGGAATTATTATACTCCTAAAAAGTTTTTAACTGGAGACCTTTGCTTTATAAATTTGTTTTACAATGGTAATAGCGATTTTACACTTTCACAGGTCAACGACCCGAGGTTGCGTCATAATGTAACGCGGCCCCGGCCTGGAGCAGGAGAAGGAACGGGGTGCTTTTTAGTCAGTAAGAGTATTTTTTGTGGTGATTCCAAATGGCATATCTCGCCCAGGGCATGGTGAGAGGGAGTGTCAGACTATTACGGATTAAAAACACCCAGCCATCCCTAATTAGGTGGTCCTAGACAAGACCGCTGGTGCGCTTGACTTGAAGCATTAGCAATACCACCATCAACAAAAAAATGTCAACGGCCCGTCCTATTTGCAGGGTATAAAGTGAAATAGGTACAATAGTTAACCTACTTCTAGCTTAAACACATTACCTTGGTGGGCATAAAGCTGTAAACATAAAACTGTAATACGTGATAGCTTCAGTTGACAAATTTATTGAGCGAGCGACGTGAATGCAGATTGGTTGCCTTCTGAATAATGATCGTTTGTGGAAAAGCTGGCTTTGCAACAGCTGTTGTCTTTGAGTGACCTAAGGTATGTATAATATATGTCTGCGTCTGGGTGTAAATCACTGTTGCATATTCTTTTTGTTGTATATTATTTACTGTATGTTAAAATAGGTCTGTATATAAGTACTGGAAAGAGAACATTGACGTAATCTTTTTTCTGAAATCAAGCGCCATATCAATTGAACGTTAACGTTATGCTTTATGATCCTCTTCAAATAAATAGATGAGGTATATAAGACTGGTTGGTAGTTTCAAGAAGATGTATCGCAAATTTACGAAAACTGGAAGATTTGTAAGGCAAACCATTACCTACCAAAGGCTTAGGTTAGAGATAAGGTAAAGATGAACTTTTACCATTACGACAGCAATAACTAAACTCCATAAATGAAAAAAAGCTTAAATGCAATGCTGAGGTTGCAAGCGAATAATATATTGTGGCCCCAACCTGAAGCAGGAGAAGGATCTAAATGGTTTTTAGTCAGAGAGATTCCGACACTCTTTGGCCCACCCAGGGCGGGAAAAAGGCATTCGATGTTTTCCCTCTCAAATAAAGGGCATTGAGAACAACATTACAAAATCTGGTTTATAACCGTCATATTATTATTTTTAGCGAATAAACAGCGTTATTCATACATGACATAATATTTCCGAGTGTCGCCTCTCGCCTCGAGATGACTGCATTCGAACCAAGGCTGAGTCACGCCATGAATAATTTATAGTCCCGCATTTATTTACAACTAATTTATCTATTAGTACCATGAATGGACCACCATTGCGGTTTTTGTAAGTTTGTTTGTCATTTGATATTAAAAGCATTCAGTTATAATTGTATGGCGAGTGGTAATGTAGGACAATGGGTATCGATGACACGAGTACTTTCTGTAGCTATTTGCTAATTAGTTATCGGTAGCGACATGTTACATGCTATTATCATTAAGTTGGATGGATACCGTTTTGTATTTGTACCATACTAGCCATCGGATTTATTGATTTTTATTTTGTTTTTGATAGCATATGAAGAGGATGCATTATGATTTATTTAGGTATACGCGAATGAATAAAATACGCCATGAAAACTGCTCGACCGCCAGTTACACAGACACTTCTAAAGTAGCTCTACTATATTACCTACCTTTGCATAATCTAAAGTTATCTTACATTTTCTTGTATATTATTTATTACCTATTTAATAAGTTATTTTTTCAAGCATCAAAAGCTTATTCACAGCTTCCTTTGATATTAATATCATCACTTACCTATATAGAATTATTATATCATATTTTAGTTAAATTACTTAACGTGAAATAGAGATAAATAGTGGCAAACATACAACTTTTTATATTAAATGAAACTAAAATAAAAAACAAAATAACTGTCGAGGTCAAGTCGTTGAGAGTAAGTCAAGTTAATTGATATGAACACTATAATCATTTCTACACCGTTATCTGCCGCGGGTCATTGATTTCCTTCGCCACCAATCATAACAACTCTTCTTATAATTTCATATGAAGAAGTAATGTACTGATGTATAAAATTGGACCTAATATAGTGTAAAGTAATAATGATCTATTAAGTACCTACATGGGACAAAAAATAATAATGTGAGTAAGGTTACAAAAAACTACTAAGTATCTATTCGTACGATTCGATTGGTTCAGCGGTTTAGTAGATAGCTGCAAGCATATGTAATAACTACTTATGACTGTAAAAGGTCCTGCCTCCGTTTCACTGGGTAGGCAAAAAATATAGAAAATCAATTTTACGGGATGGAATTAACAATAAGCTAGTCCATTATCCAAATTTAAGAAAAATTTGTTGAGCAAAACTGGATTATGCATTTCATTATTCAACTGACAACTAAAACTTCAGTGTCCCAGTCATTAAATACTTTAAGACAATAGGAAATCGATTCCATCACCCTTTCAGTGCTTAGTTACAACTTAGTTACTTAGTGCTTCTGTTTAAATACAGAACTGAAGACAAGGAAGTGATTTAAGCCCAGCTGAGCATTTAAAAGGATTTATTGTCTAGTGTCTCGATTTACATAAGTAAATAATTAATGTCGGTGCGTTCGTTTACTTTCTCGGTGCAGTAATAGTCTACATGCTTGCGTATAATTTGGTGTTACGTTAAATGTCTTTCAAGAAGTATTCATAGGTTCAGATTTTAGAAGACTTGCCAAGAGATAATGGTAAAAGAACTCTTAATAGATTTTTTTCACTGCGTTAATGGCAGGCCTTTTGTCCAAAGTCCTACGTTCGTACTGTCAAAGGAATTTCAAAATCGAAAACTTTGAAAGTTCCAGTAGGTATCTTTTTATAGGAGCACTCGGCGCACGCTACGGCTGTTTACTGCTAAACCGGCCGAATCCCTGCGATAGTCCTCGAAGCTAAGAACAGCCAGGGAAGTTCCAATATCATATTCTACAATAGGATTAAGTCAATACCTATTTAAACATTAAATGCTAACTGATTAATCTATTCAATGATGTCCATAAAATGGTATTACGTATAAAAGTAAGTACTACAAAAAACGTGAGTCAATTTGTTTGTCACTCAATCACAGTGCAGCGGATGAGCATAGAAACAGGAAGCTTGAGTCACGTTATAAGGATATATAGCATGCATGCACTATGCTATCTCAGATCAAACGCTAGTCCCTTGGGAAATCTAGGTCAGTACTTGTCGGGGCACGTACCCTTGCATTTCCATCGCTCTTTATGGATCGCAAGTGTCCTTTTGGCATGCAGATCTGAAAGGGGCGATGTTCCGAATTGTTCTGAGATTTAGAAATGACGATTTTTACAGGATTCCCAAATTATACTTAAGGGCGGGAGAGTAATGGCTCAACACCACGGCCTCAAAGAAAATAAACATGGAAGAACACTACTTGTGTCTCATTTTGTTTCCAATATAAGTCATTTATATTACATGAAAGTCGTTTTGAATGTTTTAATCTTCCTTGGTACTAAACAATTCGGAACTTCATAGTTTCATACTAACACCACGAAAGAATAAAGTTTTATAATCCGCATGAAATTAAAATGTTCAGTGTTATCGAACGATGAAATTTTTTAATAAATCTATTAAGTAGATAATATAATTAACTAATAAATTTTACGTACAATTTTCCTCTATTAAGCAAGTAAATAAGCGGCTAAACGACAAGGCATTATAAATAACTACTATATATTTCGCACGCTATGTTCACTGCCATTGAGGAAATATTAAAAATGTTAAACGTTCGCCATCTTTCATTCATAACACGGTAAATTATGACGTAACTATTTATAATATTCGTCTGTCTGAATCAGTTCGTAACGGATAAAATATTACATTTTACAGTTCTTTTGAATTAAATCTAATATTAAAATAATAGCGAATAGATTATATTAAAGTCCAAATTTAATGTTAAATTATAAATGATACTCCGACTTCTTTCGGCCCAATCGATTTTTATAAAGACAGTGAATTATCCAATTCTTCAACACAATGAACGTGTGATTCATTGCAATACATCTGTTTGTTTGTCATCCTTTAAGAACAGCGCCGGCGCCACTTCACTACCGATACCAAAGTGACATAATTTACGGAATTAATGAAGAAACCATTATTTTTTTCCTTTGTTCACTTACGACGAGCGGACGTAATGATAGATTAAAACGGTACTTCACTTGTCACACTGATTGGTGCAAGTTTACACGTACCGAATTCAATTCAGATGTGTGAACGAAATGAACGTGATGTTGCGTGCAAGTGCAAGTCATGTTTACTATTGAAATGGGTAATTGTTAATCTAATACTGCATCTACGAGTAACAGACCAAGATTTCAAATTAATTGATGAGTACCATTAGAAGAAATTACAAGGAGGCTAAAAGCTCCTTAATTTTTGTTATTCCCCTGTTAGAATTTGATTGTTATCGAATTGTTCCGCTATCAACCGGATACATTCTAGTTGAACTAAAAAAGTCGATCTCAATATAAAGATTCGGATTAAGTAAATTCGCCTCTACGACGACTTTATGTGTTAATCTCGGCACTACCTATTTTTGAATCATGATTATTAAACCAGATTTTCACAGACCTCATTTACTATTATACAAAGTCAGATGACCTAATACCCAACCCAAGTATGATAGTAATAGTAGGTAAAACAAGGTGACGTACTTAGGAGCCGGTTCGCCTTCAGCCTCGCACTCAATGATGAACGGTTTGTCCACCTCGCCGGGCTGCGCGACTTGAAACAGAATCTCTTCTTGTGTCGGCTGCTTCACGATCTTCGGCGGTGACGTCACTGCCAACAAAACGAATATGTTATGACGTGTGCCGTGAATGCATCGTGAGAATTGATTTATATAATATGTAATAATTACTCATCATTATTATAGATAGACGCTATTTTTTGTTAATTTGAGGGAATATAGGTAGTCAGTATTGTTTGATAGCAGATGTTAGTTCCTGCTAGCACATATATGGGATGGGTCCCATGAGTATAAAACCTGCTACAATGTAAATATATCTGGATATGGTTTCTAAATTTTCCACCCATTTAATAGAAAATCGATTTGATGTGTGAATAAATTAGAGTAAAATAATAATGATACTTGTGCAATTACTATCCATTGCTATCATTACACATACAATCTATTTCTATATGTAACTATTATATTATTTTTTGTACGTCATAGGACTAACAGGACAAAAATTTAAAAATTATTAAAATCAATTTGTTTATCTTACAAGTATTTTAAACAAGAAAATTTATTTATAAGTAAGGATGGATATTTGTATTAGATAAAAGCTAGTGTGAATGGATTTGAATTAAATTTGACACAGAAATAGATTTAGTCAGGAATTACACATAGGCACCTTTTTTCTCTAGGCAGAAGCTAGTGTTAAACAACTAAGTAAGTAAGAATATTGTGCCAAAAGATGATTTAAACTTAAATTTTACATTATTTTAAGCCCATTTTAGTACATTTTTTCAAATCTGTAACTGATCATTTTTATCAAAAAACTATAATGAATGTATTATGGATTACAATTAAACGGTCAGGGTTAAGGAGCAAGTTTAGAATAAGTTGAATAGGACTCCAATGTACCAAATGTTTTCATTCATATAATATTTTAAAAAGTATTTTTTGCAATGAGTTTTTTAAAAAAAATTTAGACAGTCATATAAAAGTAGAAGCTGTGTTTTGGGTGTTTATCTTTTTCAATTACTTAACAGATCTAGGCGAATATTGTACCAGAGCAAGGCTTGCAGATTTAAGTTTAAAACTGAATCTGTATGACTTTAGTGTTTAGATTCATACATTAAAGAACATCCTAACGAAACAAGTTAGCGACATTTGTCTTTATCACACCACACCACACCTCTTTGGCTTATTAAAACATTAATCCCTTTTTAAAGTGGATGAGTGATCTGTTGCAAAATATGAAAACATGAGCAATTTAAAACTGAAAAGCTACAAAATAACACTTGGCCTGACCTGAAAATTAGATCAATATCCTCAGACTATGTGCCATTTACACAGAATTGATGCATTGTGAACATTTCACCATTAAAATGTGATTAAAATAATGTACTGGTCAATTGTAACAGGGAAGGAATGTTGATTGCATTATGATCTAGTTGGCACTACTGTTTGCCCTACACACTACCTGCCAATGTTTGATAGTGGACCCCAGTGCCAATAGTATTGATAGCCAGTACATTAACAAAACAATACATACAAAATGGAATATTATGTAAATGTCCAGGTGAATCTTTGCATACAATTACTTGTAAATATTCTTTGTGTTGTCCACATCAATAGCATTTAGCATTGCCAAGGTGATTCCGACATTGCAAACTAACAAGCTATTGGTATTTTTTATCAGTTTTACATTTCCAATTAGAAAATTAAGTTTTTATAGGTAGACTAATAAGATTCAAACTGTGGATTTCTTATAAGATTTGATTGTTTACATTATTCAATTGAATGCTATTTATTGTATAAAATTTTAATAGTTTAGGGAATGGCTGATTGTATTACTTAATAGTGTTTGATGTTATTTGGATTTTGTTTAAACAGGCAGCAGGTCTCTCACAATAGCTAACACATGTTTCAATTTGAAAATGCAGTGTGTTACAAAATCACAATAATAAAAATTTGAAAAGGAAAGAAGTCATACTTTCATTGAAGTTTTAAGATAAATAAATATGATAAATATTTCTATTTTTATTCAGAGTATTAAGATGGGATATGACATTAGACTATAAACCTCTAACTATACATATATGAAACCCACCATCAAATCTCAAGTAGATACCATTAAAAACATAACAGCTTGTAATATACTTAGTCGGGTCATAAGTTCTGTCAAAACCTTATATTTTTAATTTTCGATTACTGGCCAGAAATTCTTCGAATTATTTTAAAAATAGAACTTTCGCGCTTGTAGAAAATAAAAAAGAAATTATTTTTTATTCATTTTTAAATATGGAGTGGTCGAATAAAGAAGACAGAATCGCGGTTATCGCGTTGCACCGCTGTGGTTACGCGCCAAAAGACATTTTCAATATTCTTCAAAATTTGAAAATAACGTTACGGTTTGTTTATCGTACTATCAAACGATACACCGAAGAGTCAAGCTTCGAAGATCGTAAGAGAAGCGGCCGACCTCGCACAGTTCGGACACATAAGGTCATCAAAGCAGTGAAGGCGCGAATCGAACGAAATCCCGTACGTAAACAAAAAATCCTAGCTCTGCAGATGGGGCTAAGCAGAACCACTGTTAAAAGAGTACTAAATGAAGACCTGGGACTACGAGCTTATCGTAAAAAGACAGGACATTTTTTGAACGAGCGTTTAAAAAAAATTAGGCTAGACAGATCCCGCGCTTTGCTACGACGGTACGCGGGAAAAAAATACCGCGAAATTCTTTTTTCGGATGAAAAAATTTTTACTATTGAAGAAAGTTTTAACAAACAAAATGATAAGGTGTATGCCCACAGCAGTGAAGAAGCAAGCGCGCGTATTGCGAGGGTCCAGCGTGGGCATTACCCTTCCTCATTCATGGTTTGGCTTGGAGTCTCATATTCAGGCGTAACTGAGGTGTTTTTCTGTGAAAAAGGTGTGAGAACTAGTGCCGAAGTTTATCAAAATACTGTCCTAACAAACATAGTGGAACCTCTTTCTCAGACAATGTTCAGGAACAGGCATTGGATATTCCAACAGGACTCTGCACCGGCTCATAAGGCACGAAGTACGCAAGACTGGTTGATCGCTCGTGGAATTGACTTCATCCGGCATGAAGACTGGCCCTCTTCTAGTCCAGATTTAAACCCACTGGACTACAAGATATGGCAATATTTGGAGGAAAAAGTCTGTGCTAAACCTCACCCGAATTTGGAGTCTCTCCGAGCATCTCTGGTTAAAGCAGCGGCAGACATAGATATGAATGTGGTGCGTGCAGCGATCGATGACTGGCCGCGTAGATTAAGGGCATGTGTTCAAAATGGGGGAGGGCATTTCGAATAATGTAAATAAAATTATATTGTACATTTAATGACCTTTCATTTCATATATAATTTTTAAATAATTGTCAAAAGGCGTATAAGTTATTACATCAAAAGTTTGTGACAGAACTTATGACCCGACTAAGTATATTTTTACCAGCACACTAAAAGGTGGGTAGTACATTGCTAAATTCAATCTATGACATCAAAATCTTGATCACGGTCTGAGCAAGGACAAAACAATGTTGTCAATTACAAATCTGGCATGTAGACTACTAAATTAAGATATGATTATGATTCTACGGAGTAATGAATGACACCATTTAAGTCATCAAGAAATTTCAAGGAGTACCTATGGTTTAGTTTTTTCTTTCTGGGTCTCCATGCTGTTATTCATTTAACAATAGAAATGGAAGGGTTATTAGCAATGATAATTATTATTATTTTTGGTAACGAAAAAATTACTTGTAATTTACTTTAATTATGTATTCCAATGAATATGAGACTTGTTTATGAGTAGTAAAAAAATCTCTAGTATAGTTTGACTACTGTTTACTCAATATTATTAAATTAGCAAGTTAAATCACATAGGGAAGGGTTGCAGTAGATCATAAATCAACAAGTATGTCTCTTAATTTAATTACTTGAGGATGGTACAACTAAGAAAAAGTTGAATGAATGATAACTAACAATTTAATAACCAATTGAAATCCTAATAGAACAGACAATAAACATTAATAACAATGTAAATAATACTCACATAACGCCGCCGCACATGATATAAACGCGACGAAACACAGCACTTTTGTTGTACCCATCTTAACAGGTCTCCTACTTCGTAGAACTTGTGTATCTAATAAAAAATCAAATATACCACTTTAAAACTTATTAAAACACATTTCTCCGGCACACATGTTCACCGCACTCGATGACCTAATCCGAATAAAGCTTGGACCACAATGACAACACCCACTAAAAATAGCAACATCAAATACACTAATTTAACGACCTCTTATGACACAAAAACTTATAACGCAAACTTAAAAAGTACCGCAATTTCCTTAGCCCTTATGATTACACGGTTTCACAACGGGCTAACGCTAGAAATCCCGCACAAACTCACTATTTGTTGCCGTACACGGCAAATCAATAATTACATTCCAATAATGAAAACTGCAATAAATCTTAACATAGAAAACGTTTATACATTTTAACTAGTGTTAATTATTACCTAAATGCTCGTTTTTATAATAATATCATCGCGAAAACCAACTGAAATAATAAAATTACGGATATAAAGGCGGGGCCTCTGAGATTCGCTGTCGTTCGTTCGTTCAGCACTTGACGGTTCAATGGCTTGACATAGACAAGGACTCCATTCCTAAGCCATGGCCGTTTTATTTGTTGTCTCTTTTGCACTTAGGGCAAAAATGTAGTTTTAACTCTTTCTCTCTTTGTCTGATCATAGACAAACGATGGAACGTTGAATGCAGTCGTTTAGAAATGTCACTTTCAAATAGTGGAATTCGTCTACAACTTACCAGTGAAAATACAGGTAGGTAATACTTTTTTCCTATTGGAGTAAATAAATTAATATATAAAAAATATAAAGTAATATTAATTAATGTAAACGATAACTTATTTTATTAAGAACTTTAACTTTTAACCAATCGCTCGCGACGGTACTTTGGAAAGTAGGTATATCAGATATCTCGATATCTCTTTATGGAAATCTCGATTCCTACATACAGAAACAGCCATTCCAGTTTGATTCTTATAGACATTGCTTTTGTTTCCGTTGGAGTGCCAGCTACAGTACCAAAGCTATCTTAGTACCCAATGACTTGGTACGTAACGATGGAAAGATTGACAACAGACATGAAGGTAGGTACATGTTTTGAAAGATGAATATCCTATATACCAAAGACCCTAGGTCTTTAATCCAAGACAGCAATTTAATGGGATGCCACTTGCGCTGATTCTCTTGCCATCACATCTTCGAGGCTCAGCGTACGAGCTAGTAGGTGACGGGTATACTGACATAGGCGAAGGAAAACATCGTGAGCAATATCGTGAGGAAACATAAACTGAAATTGCTAATCCACCTTGAGCAAACTTGGTGATTATGGTCAAACGTTCTCCGTTTGAAAAGAGGCCTTTGCACAGCCCTGCACTTTTAAGACTGATGACATGATGCCATTGATAGATATGTACGAGGAACAAGGCGGTGGGCGATACGGCGGACAGACTTTTACAGGAACTAAGAAGTTTTTGACCCTCGAAATACTCATAACTTTGGGAAGAGGACTTTACTTTTTCTATTGCTATCAGCCTGTAGTCGTAAACAACTATCCAGGATTTGTACAGTCATCTTTTTAAGGATCGGGTGGACTAAAGCCGTCTTCTGTGATGTGGGGACTACGCCTAAAAAGTCGAAAAAGATGTCGTGTCGTCGAATGGTGGCTGGAGCAAATTTCTTCAACACTATAATTGGGACGCCGACAGGCCTACTGCACTTTAGGATGTTAAGGAACGTAGCTCAAAGCTCGTCTAATTGTCTGCCAATGAACTATCGTTAGTCCAGGCGATGATGATGAGAAAAGTTGAAATTTTAGCTTCTAACTTTATAATAACTCTTTGGATACAAACATGGTTATTTTGAATAAGGAACTTAATTTTTCTTTATAAAAATATAAAGAAAAATTAAGTTGTGGTTAATTTTCAATCAAATCTGACGCTAAATGTAGTCAGTTACAGAAATTTTCAAAAATGATAGTGGTGCTTTTTTGACTTTTAGATTTGTATTTTGGACGTAAAATCTATGAAGTGGTATTGCTTAAAAGTTTACTAAGACTAAAAGTAATATTCTCTTCGCGTACCTATTCAATCATAGATCTTATAATATCTAAAGATACGGAATCATGAATGTGGGTAAGTAATTCTTCTTTTATTGCTTGCTATGCCGTAGAAGAAACAATAATAATAATAGTCATTCATCGTCGAACTCCGTGCCGTGATAATCCCAAAGTTGGGAGAACAATGCGTGCCCCAAGCTGTTAAGAGAGATTGTTTTAATAATTTTATTATTTCGCAGGTGATCAGCCTAATAATAATCTAAGAACAAGGCATAGCTTCTACATATCAAAAGGGCCCAAGGACTCGCATAGAGAACCCTTATGCAAATCAGAAGTCAATGTTCCACAAGAATACAGCGTAAGACCGAACAGCTCTCGGGAGACACATATAACATTTAGTAGTCTTGGAGAATACTATAAGAAATATGAACATGATGAGGTCCCTGTTAAAGACTCTAGTTATGAAGAGGTAGCAACAGAACGGCACAAATCATTAACGAATTCTGAACTTGATAAATTAGAGATTAAAATATACAAAAACATTTCTCAAGAGCTTCAGACTGATGATAACTCGGTCGGTAGCCTGGAGTCGAATATTAAGTTTTTCAGAACGACCGTTCAAGAGATTTTTGATAATTTTTACGCCAATATGCGCGATTTTGAGATTTATAAAAAAAGATTTAACGAAATTCTTTCAAAAAATAAGGAGGATGCAGTGGCTGATATGGAAGAATTCATAAAAGACATGATTCAACACATAATGTCTTCCGAAACCGTTATTCCGACTGAGATCAAGAAGAAGAATAATAGCCCGCCGTCGCCGCCGCCGCTACCGCCATCTATGTCTTATAGAGACAAGGAGACAAATGTGAGCAGCTTGGACGACGGCTCAACTAATGATACGACTGGTTCAACCAACGAAAATCTGCAAACGGTAATCGAAGCTTACAAAAATGATAATTATCTTACAGACTCTACTTTTGATGAAAATTCATCAAAGGCGAAACCTCCTCCAAATAAGGAAGAAATCTTCAATATTTACCTTCTAAGCGGAAATCCCTGCGTGGAAATTAAAATGAATGAACGAAATCTATTATCTGAAATCAACATTAAAGAGCCGGTAAAAGTACCAAACGAAGGTAAACACGTTGCGTCTGCCGATGACATGGAAAGACTGAAAGCCAAGAAGATGGAGCTGGAGAAGTACGTAGAGCGCCAGGGACAGGACCTGAACGTGCCGGACAGAGAAATACCCGTAAAAGTTTCCTACGCGAAGAAGAATATACATCTAAATGAGGACTTTTCCCATGAACGTGACTGTGAAAAATCTTTTATTGCTAAACTCTGTAATTTTTTGTGCAGAAGATTCCGTAAATCGATTTGAAGTCGCTGTTTTATGTTTTTGATTAAATAAATGCGTTGTAAATATTCAACAATACTTTATTGTGGACTAGACAAAGAATAGAAACAAGGAACAAAATCACGATTCAACACCACATTCTTCAAAATTGATTATATACCACCTCATCATGGCTATGTGTTTACTAAGTTGTAGTGCAAATTCCTTCTTCATGTGCAAAAACTCCCTGATGACCGGCAAGTCTAACATAACGAATGCTTGGCCGTCTATTTCTTCTTGCTTCATTTTGTCTGCTATAAGTTTACAATCGTCAGTACTACTTAAATAAGCGTAAACGTCGTCAACTGACCAGTCTAGTGGGTTCGGAGATAGCTTCAGCTTGCCCTTCATCCAGGACATCGCCATGTCTTTCTCGAACATCTTGTTATCGGACGGCAGAGGATCGTAAGTGTTGAATTTCAACTTTTTCAGTTCTGGTTCCTCCGAATCCGATACGTCGGAAATATTTTTGGCATCTCTAGAATTGGAACTGCTCTCGTTGGTCTCATTCTCTGTATCGCTGTCTTGCGAAGTCTGTTTCTTGACGCAGGTGTTGCTGTATATAGTTTCGACGTCTTTTTTGTTCCAGTGAGCTTCCTTCATTTGCAGGGCGAAGTTGGGCAGCTTGGCGCCGCGCGTCTTCATCTCCAGCTTGGGGTAGGTGTGCTTGGGCTCGCGCTTCCTGCGCTGGCTGCGCTTGTAGTCGGCGCTGTCGGGGGAGTTGGCGCGCGAGTTGTGGCGCGACGTGTGGCGCGACGCGGAGCGCGAGTTGGGCCGCGTGCCGGACTCGGAGGGCGGCGTGGACCCGGCGCTGTGCTCGCTCTCCACGGACTCTCCGTCCTTGTTGCTCTCAGACTCCTGGGACGGTTGCTGCTCCTTCTCCTTCTTCTCTGGTGCAGCCTTCTTCTTTTTCCTTTTACCGTTGACGCTGCCTTTTGGTCTGCCTCGGCGTTCTGTGTTGTGATCTGTAATTTCAAATGTTTTTACTGTAGAGAGTGCCACTAATGACTAGAAATGTATATTTGTAATTTTGGGGAAAATTCATATTCGTTTAGGATAATTAATAAGTAGTTTTAATCTCATATTTGAGGGTCAAATAGGTACAATAGATTTTTTTATTTGTAATGGGTGAACACCTAGTACGTTTAGATAATGTTGCAGAAAAGCAGCATTAAAACTTACGGAAAGTGGACTTGTCAACACGCTGGCAGTCGTTAGGGCAGGCCTCGGCGTGCTCGTCGGGCCCGAAGAGGCACGGGCAGGCCTGCAGCTTGACACATACGTCGCGGCAGAATGCCGACACTTGCGTCGCCGACCGCGCTATGGGCACGTACGCGTGGTATGTACTCGACTTCAGCCTGTAACCGATTAATTTTAATATTAGATGACTTCAAATTACTTCATACGCCACCGAGATACAGTACAATACAGTGAAAGCATAAATTACATTATAATGTATACTCACTTAGCTCGTAACATTTCGAGCCGCATGCCCTCTTCGGGCGGTCCCTCAGTCTCCCAATCTTTGAGCAGCTTGGCAGGCTTGTATGACGCCGAGATAATTTTATTTAAGACCTCCTTTAGCACCAACGACAAAGGCCCGGGACCCACATGTTTTGGCAACTGAGACAATTTGTTTCTACTTATCGATGGTCCCGCATAACACTTGTAGTTAAAGAATATTCTATCGCACCATTCGTCTGAACACTTCATGTCGTCTTTCACCGTTTTCTCTTCCACTGGCTTTGGTTGTTCCTTTTCTACTGTAGTGTCGGGAATGTGTAAAGCGTAATCATTGCTGTCGCACCAACCGACTGGGAATAACAAGTCACTGTCTTGCGCATACCAGTACTTCTCCCCAATAGGCAAAAGCTCCACGCAGAGCATGTGTTCTACTACACTATCAATATTCGCTACGTGAATTTCTTCGTGATTCTGTGGGTTGACAGCCTCTAACTTCATATTGACTTCAATGCCTTGCAGCGGCACTTTGTTCCCGAAGCAGTAGTCTGGCGCTGGCACTGACGACGTCATCGTTAGATATTCGTCCCAGTCAAATGGTCCTTCTTTCCAGATTTTTGGGTTCTTGAAAGTAAACCCATTTTTCTGTGCCCACCCTATGGGGTAAATGTATGGGTGCATAGAGTCGCAGAGCCAGGCCATCTTAGAGTCCTCGTAATCTTCTACATGGTCATCGATGACTACAAGGAAGTGCAAATTATTGAACACTTTGGTAACAGTCGCGGGACGTATGGTCCTCATGTCTTGTGGACTTAAAGCTTCTACCTTCATACCGCTCACGAAGTTGTGAGACTCCAGGTTCTGGTTGGGCTGTGGACAATAATATCACGTTAGTTTGAGATCTTGCTTGACTCAAAATGCTAGAAGTTTCGGGGCTATAGGTTTTTATTGAATAGAATGAGAGATCAGGATAAGTTAAACATCCTATCACCGTTATATAAAGCTTAGCAACTTAATTGTAACTATATTCCTACACGTTTATTATTTTCATAAAAAAAAAACAGAAATTTACGTTGCCAGAACTATGTTTTTTAAACTATCCTCAATAACTTAGAGATGCATCATTCGCTTTCTACGAACATCTGACAAGTTTGAAATAGCTCAGTTCGACTTATATGTGGGGCAATATGCGTCCGTTGATATATTGAAACCAAACAATCCCCGCGTTATTTGGAACAACTGCATTGATTCACACCATGAGTTGGGAAAACACGTTATGTTTTCAAACAAAACAAGTGAACCTTATGCTTCGAATCAAAATATACCTAGGTACCTATAGGAAAGAATACTGTTATGGTGATAGTTGCGGAAAACACTGTTTTCGCGGATTATGCATAGTTTAATATAGATTTTTGCCTTCGTTTACCTTTAATATATGTATGTATAGTAATGCAACAGAGAACCCCGTAGCGCCGCGGTAACGCAGAAGCTACTAATCGGAATGATAAAAATAAGCAGATTCATAATTATACACACATTGTTGAGTTATAAGACCAAGGTCTCTTGGTTAGTGAGTTTTTGAAACGCAAAACATGGGCTATTATTGTTATTTCTATTTTTATCGGTTCCTAAATTATGAAGACTAGATTGAGAGAGTAGCATGGAAGTTTTAACCCATTTTTCGTTCTTACAAGTAGATGTGTAAATGAGACTTATTCACTGTTTATATTTTTATATTTGATCAAAGAGTTTGAAGCCTATAATACTGAAATAAATTTCACTTCATATGACACTTCATACTACTCAAAATATTAGAAAAAGAATATTTTCTTCCATTGGGAAGTCGACACTTGTGACAAAGTAGGTCGACCAAGCACTGCGTTAACTGCAGTAGGTAAAATATAAATTATGTAGATAGTAATAGCAAAACTAAATGAATAAAGGTAAAACTTACTTGGAACAAGTCGGCTGGCGTAGGCTCTGAGATCGCCTCCTCAGCGCTCTGCCGCAGTTGTGTACTCAACTTGTTCTTGCACGAGAATTTATTAACTTTACCCGGATATTTGAATTGCCACGGAGAACCCTGTAAACATAAAAATAGGCTATGCTACACCTGTTTCGCTATCTGATATTAAAAGAAGGACCTCAAAAACTTCGCCTGAACATAACATAGTCCTAGGTCCTATTTAACCTTTCAATCGTGATAATTCAAAACACAATATGTAGATACCTATGTATGCGACCGCCGTTCGCTGGGGTTTTGATGAATTCAAATTCACATCTAGTTTTAACTTATAATATAATAAGTAATTGTGCACTATCGAAAACTTTTAATTCAGTAATTAAGACAACTTTATGCAGAGAAAAGGATGAACCTAATTAAAACTTGTAAGTAAACGCAAATTTTTGCTTGACAATAGAATAGCAAACTAGGATCTTGTCTTATTAAATCTAAGGTATCCGCTACCAAATAATATTCGATAGGACAATTTACTTCACCAATTAGGTATGAACAAGAATTCCTATTAGTATCGAGGTCAACAAAACCGAACAGTTTAGTTCAAGTGACGAGTATTTATTACGGTTCCTAGCCACTGACCCACATTTGTTCGAACATACTACGGAGAATATTGATAAATAATGTAACAACAATGGCGTTTTGATTGGGCTAAAATTACATCGCACAATCTAGGCTGGGCGCAGACGATCTGAAACTCTATAATAGGAACTGTTTTATATAAAACTCTTTGCTTAGTATTCACAGAACAGACAAAGTTATTGACGTGGCGCTCAATTTTGTATTATCAACCGATGTTGATAGTTTTAATTACAGTAGGAACATTCATACACGTTGGTATTATGCGTTTTGTAAAACTGAATAACTTATAAAGGAAGAATCTATTTGAAAAAAATAAGTAACGTTTCAATATTTGCGTATCTGGTGGCCTCCAAAAGGTTAAAATTCGAATTGAACTAACTTGGAGGACTAGTAAGATCGTGTCCAGACATACATCAGAGACGCGCACAAAGACACAGGAAGGTCATAAGTAGATAATAATTAGCTTTTCCAAAATCTTCCTTGTTGAATCATGATTACGGGGAACCCAGTTCAATTTCAATAAGTACAAGCTGATAAATTAACCCAACATCTCCCATTAGATAGTGGTACTGGACCAAAATACTAAGAATTGAGTTCAAACGGAGGCAAGCGGGGGCGAACTTGTTGAAGACATCATTTTATTGATCGCTTTCTAAATATAAAACTCGTGAAGCAGGATTGCTTTAAACTCTTTAAAGGAACCATATACGTGTACTATACTATTATTAAGCGTACTTAGGTATCCTGTAACGCAAAAATCGATATTATTAACATAATAAAGCTGAAGAGTTTGTTTGTTTGAACGCGCTAATCTCCGGAACTACTGGTTCGAATTAAACAATTATTTTTGTGTTGGTTAGTCCATTTATCGAGAAAGGCTATATACATGAAACAACACGCTACGATCTAATTGACGCGAGCAGCG